TGGGTTTGCGTGGGGCCCCGCTGTGCGGGCTCCCCCAGCAGCCCACACGAGCGGCGACAGTTTCTAATTTCAAAGCCCCCCAGGGAGTCAAATCAAGTCACCCCGCTCGCACGAGGGCGGGCCCATATAGGGCGCGAGGGAAAAATCAAATGCCAGTCACTATTCAAGCCTGGTGCGCAAAGGAAGCATCGCGCCTGCTCACGTCGACGTGCAGAAGTCTAGGACATCTTCTGTCATTTCCACCCATGCTGAGTAATCTTGTGCAGCTTCTTGCCACGGTCCGATGTGGTTCGCCCGGCAGAACGAGGATAGCTTCGCGTCCCATGACAGAAGAGGACGACCCTGTGAGCGTGATCCCGACGGCGTCCAATGCAAGGCTCTCTGCACCCACCGATCAGGAGGTAAACCCGCAACGTATGCTGCCAGATCCCAATATTTTTTCATGGACTCTCTCGACCATGTGCGAAGACCATGTTCCGCCAATGCTTGGCTGAGCTTTTCGTGCCATAAGTGCAGAGTCTCATGCCACGGTTGGGACCAATCCACGCCTGCAGGCGGGCCAACGACCTGCCGCATCAGACGCCGGAATGCAACGTCTACCCCGTGCAGTGAATCGCTGTACGGCTTCCAGACACGAGCTCCGAAACACGCCACTGACGTCACGACGCGGTTGAAAAACTCAAGCCGGGCAGCGAGAGAAACATTCCGGTCGCATAGAATGTCCTTGTTTGCAAAGAAAGCTTTGCTTGCGGATGTCAGATGATACTCCACGTCCAAATTGTGCGTTCCAGAACCACCCACGGACAGCATGCATCCCAACCACTTGTGGGCGGTACTCCGGGGGAGGACTTGGATTGTTGCGCCGGCCCGCGTGGTAATTTTTTGTGGAGGTTGCGCCTCTGTTGTCATCACCACCGTCTTGGCCGCATTCAGAACCAACCCAACTTTGGCCAATTCGTCGACCAGTGCGTCCAGCTGCAATTTGGCTTCGCCCGCTGATTTGGCAAACAATAAGATGTCATCGGCAAAGCGTAAGTCTATGAGCGGCCTCAAACCGTCGCCCAAATCAAATCCAAGATGCGAAATGCGAGCTCTCCACGCACGCATGGCCCACTCCAAGACAGCTGTGAAAAGAACCGGGCTGAGCACGCACCCTTGGCGAACGCCAGCATTGATCGGAAATGCCTGGCTTCTGGCCCAATCGCCCAAGACTTGCCCTTCCTGGTCACGGTACAGACGGTGCATTGTCCAAATCAGATGGTCGTTGACGCCGAGCTGCCGCAGAGCCTCCCACAACGCAGCCCAAGATACTCGGTCGAACGCGTTTGATAAGTTCAAACTCACGATCCAGAGCGGAACATTCGCCGCCAAAGTCTTCTCAATGACAAGATTTGCTGTCAGAAGATGCTCCTCCAGACGCCTATTAGATCTGAAGCCGTGCTGCTCCTCTGGTTGTTGCGACTCGAGCACGTGCTCGACGCGCCCCAGCAACATGTATGCAAACAACTTGTAGAGAAGACGGATGCTCGCTATATGTCGAAAATCTCCGACTGCCTTGGCGTGCGTCTTCTTTGCCAACATGATGAAAAACGTCTTGTGCCATGATTCCGGAACGTCCCCGCCAGCAAGCACAGCATTGTACAGCGTAAGTAATATCTCCTTCAGTTCAACATTCGAGTGCTTCAACATTTCTGCCACTAGGCCACGTTCGTCCGGGGCCTTGTTTGATCCCAAACGCCGGATGCCCCTGTCAATCTCCTGCATGGTGAACGGCGCCTCTGTGAGGGAAGGCGGCGGCACGTCCTCCGCTGCCTCGGCGAGGATGTCGCGCAACGTGTCGGCAAAATCGTCTGGCGGTGGCTGCTGCGACGTCTTCTTACCCGAAATGCTGTGGGAGAGCCTTTTCAACCCCTGCCAACACGATGTATTGGACAAGTATCGTTGCACCCGCGCCGTCTTCCAGGCCCTTGTCTCTCTGCGGTGCATCTGGCGGATTTGCAACGACAACTGCCTTCTGGCGGATTGGTCAACCTCCTGTCGCCTCCTGGCCCGCAACATATGTAGGGCACTTGATGGGGCAAACTTGTGTTGGACGGTGCGCTTCCTGCTCCTGCAATGACCGGCGGCTCGTTGCAATGCGTCTTCGATGTCCTCGAAAGTAGCGTCCGCAGGAGTAGATTGGAAGAGCACTTCATGGAAAGACGCTGCAACGCCAGACGAATCCAAGCTAGGCTGCCAGCCCTTGAAACTTCGCTGCCGTTCAGGCCGCTGTCGCTTCTGAGTTAAATACCTGCACCGGCTATGGACGCACCTTTGGTCGAGGCCAACAGCCAAAGCATTGTCGCACCAACTGTGCACAAACTCGAAAGACACATCGGCGCACAGAAAATCGATCTGGACGCGTGACCCGTCAAAAGCCCGCAAGCAAGTCGACGAATCAGGGGCATGGCGCGCATCTGGCTGGCTGCTCAAAACTTGAAGCCCGTGTTCCGAGAGCCATCGAACAAGCGTCTGCCCACGAGCGTTGCGTACTCCACACCCACATGGTCTCAGCATGTCAGCGTCATCCCCCTCCTGGAGCTCACCGATTGAAGCGTTGAAATCACCACCAATGATTGGGGCCATACCCTGGCGCTTCCCATCTTCAAGTAGAAGGGACAACAGCATGTACACTTCCTCAGCCGCCTCAGGCGTGTCCCAAGACGTTGGGAAATAGACACATATTGCTCGAAATTGCGTAGCACCATGCCGAAAATCCAATGCACAAGCCCTCTCTGAGACTGAGTGGAATCGAACCGCACTCAGCTGCCTGAGAAAATCGCGTGATAAGCCTATGCCCACACCACGGTGTTTCGATCCACCGCTGAAGTAAAGCATGTCACCACGAGGAGTCTCGATGATGTCCTCGCGCTCCTCCCGCCACGTCTCCGTCAAGAAAACGAATCGTAAGTAGACCGGCCGAGCTCCAACAAGAAGTCGTCAAACCGATTGCTGTCACGTAAACTTTGTACGTTTTTTGTGATAAGGTGCATGCTTACGAATTCTGTAGCCGCCTCGGCTGGCAAACGGCCCGCCGATCTTTGACCTTGCTCCGGCCTTGGCTGTTGACCAGAAGCCCTTCACAGGAACAGCTCGTCCGCGAACTCGTTCACAGCCTCCGTGACCGAGTCGTCTACCTCGAACCCCTCGTCCACCCACTGCGGCGACTCGTTCTCCGGCACGTTCGCCACGAGGTACAAGCGCCGGTTGGACCGGACATGCACCTTAAACGTCTTGTAATTCGCCACGATGTGTTTGGACTCAACCCCCTGCAATTCAATCAAACATTTTTTGATTTTGCTTACAAGTTTCGTCCTCTTCCTCTCCTGCGGAGTGCGGTTCTCAGAAGCCCACAAACCTGCCTCCTTGAACTTACGATTGCGCTTCTGTGTCTTCAGGAACTTCATGGTCTTCGCGATGTCGGAGAAGCGGGCAAACACGACAGAGGGTTTCTCGCTGAAGGACCAAACCTCCTGGAACCCGTCAGTTTCATCCAGTGCGTCTCGGACAAGCTGCTCTGCTTCATCAGCCCCCATTTCATCAAACCCTCCAGTGAGGCCAACAACAGCCACATTCTTGTCGATGTCCCCGGTCTCAGTGTTCGTGTGTTGGGAGTTCTGGAGCTTCTCCTCCAGGGCCGTGACTCGTTTCTCCAACTCCTTGCGTGCATCTCATTCCTGTTGCAACTCCTTCTTCATCTCAGTCATCGCTTGGGCGTTCGACGCTTGGATTTCGGATATGCCGAGTTTGATCTCGTCCCTCATCATGTGCCTGAGTAGGGCAACTGTGGCAGGGCTCATTTCGACTTTCCCCACAGTTACCTCGGTCGCTGGCGCCGAAGCCATAGAAGACCCAGAAATCCCAGCGTTCACGCGTTTTGAACGTGCCGCTGCATCCCGATCCGGTGTCCCAAGCTGCGCCTCCCTCTTCGGAGTCGTCAAAGGCGACGTTGGATCTTCCATTTGGGTGTCTTTGATGGTCAAAAACCCTTTCTGAAAGTCCGATGTCAGGTCCGCCCAGTTTGCACCGTATTGAGTCGCTTCACCAATAGTGTTGGCGACCTTGTATGTGTCGTAACGTTCATGTGGCTTTGATCCTGGACGTCTCGGATTTTCTTCTTTGAACTCGATCTCAGTGTCATTCTGCTTCAGCTTCGAAATCTGCTCGGCGGACAGCGGCATAGTCTCCACGTAAACGACACCCCCAATAGAACGAGTGAATCAACGAATGAGTCACAGAAGCAAAACGTGGGAGGTACGTTAGGCGGGTATGCAACCTTGAGGGGGGTATGCAACCTTGAGGCTGAACCTTGAGCCGCGAAGTTTTTGAGGGTCGGCGCGGGGTCCCATTGCGCAGGCTCCCCCAGCAGCCCGCACAAGTGGCGACAATTTCAAATTTCGACCCCCCCAGAGATGGCGAGGTCTTTTGGGGGTCCGCGTGGAAACTGCTGGCTCCCCCCAGCAGCCCACGAAATTGGCGACAGCTTCGCACTTCGCAGCCTCGCAGGGGTGGCGAGATCTTTTTGGGGTTTGCGTGGGGCCCGACTGCGCGGGCCCCCCCGGCAGCCCACACAAGTGACGACAGTTCCACACTTCGCAGCCCTGAGGGATGGCGAGGTGTTTTCAGGGGTCGGCGTGTGACCCCATGTTGTTGGCTCCCCCATCAACTTTCGAATGCGGTGGCAGGTTCACATTTCGCAGCCCCCAAGAGGGATGTTAGAGAAGAGAGCCGAGAGGAAACCAGGGGGAGGTGGAGGAGAAGGTCCAGGGGGTTGGCGACCCCATTGTTTTATTCAATACGAGAACCCAACCAGGGGAGGGGTGGGAATGAACATCGAGCCTATCTCTATCCCGTTGGACACTTCTGGAGGCTTCCGGGAAGCTCGAGAGCTCAGCCATGTTCCTACCGTGCGAAGGCCCCACCTTGCATCCATTGTGGCCGTCGTTTCTGTTGTTTGCCAGGTGCCCCTCCGGCTCGTCTGCTTCGAGAGTTTACGGATCGCCGAACTGGCTCAGCGGGATATATCTGGAGCCATTAACGATCTGGCGGGTTCAGCGTCGTGGCAGTTCAGCAAGCTGACGTCGCTGTTGACGTATTTCTGGCTCATCCTGGGCGTTGTTTGGATCATCAATGCAGATGGTTGTAGTGAATGCCCTTATTTGCTCATCACAACCGCATCTATGCTTGGAATGTCTTCTCTGCGGATTTTTACCGCATTCGCTGGCTTCCGTGCCTTCTTCACATATGATGCTGCAGGCGGCGGCGAAGCTCCCAAGGTGGCGCCTGCTCAACCAGCCCAGATCCGCGCCCTCAAGCTGATACGATTCATAAAGGACGGCCAGGTTGAAAGCAGCCAGCAAGGCCCAACTTGTGCTGTGTGCCTGGCCGAGTATTGTGACAGGGACGAGTTACGTGAGCTACCATGTGGACATCGTTTCCATAAAAACTGCGCAGACACGTGGCTTGCGAAGAGCAAGCGGTGTCCGCTGTGCATGGGAGCTATTGATGCAGTCAAGTATCGTGTCTGGTGCCCTTGCCACAAGCGCAAGTCCTACCACGGCCACCGCGATTGATCACCAGAACTGAGCCGCGCTCTCAGGGTTCGTGGCGTGCCAGAAGAGTAGAAAAATGGGATGGGACCGTGAGTGTGTACCAAACGCATGTGTGTACACATAGATGCGTATACGCCTACGTGTATACGTATATGTAATGAATGATCTGTTCTTCGAATACGTATGCAGAGATAATATTTGTGATATAAATATACATATATATATATATATGTATGTACACAGACATGCATATACACATAAAATCTGTACCTTTGTATATCGGCAGCGCCCCGTGGCACGAACACCTCCCGCCTTCCTGACGTGTTTCCGTACAAGACGCACCAGGTGCCGCCAGCGATTTGGAACTGCCCGCAGAGACCTCCAAGGTTACCCCAAATCGGGCCCCAAGACGGCCTCCGAAGACCAAGAGGTGCCCCCAGAGGCCCTGAACTACCAGACGCACCGGGTGCCGCCGACGACCTGGAATCCCCCCCTCTCTCCCTTTCCCAGGGGTTTTCGTACCGGGCGCACCGCCGGACTCCACCCCCTATGTGGTAGTGGGGTGAGGCGCTCTTGTGGGAGAGGGGGGGAATCGGGAGGGGCGGTGAGGAGTGCCGAGTAGGGCCGAGAAGTGCGATGGAGTGGGGAGGAATCGGGCGGAGCGGTGAGGAGCGCCGAGGAGTGCAGTGGAGTGGAGAGGAGATCTCCGGGGACCTCTAGAAACCTCGATCAGGGACCGAGGACGTCCGGAACCCTAGAACTGCTCCCGGAAAAGTTCCGTGGGTTCTGGGGACTTCTGGAGTTCACTGGTTGGATGTCGTCGTCGCAGTCGTCGCCGCTGCCTTCGACGCCGCCGCCGAAGCCGCCTGTGGACGCTCGCACGCGCTCCCAGAGCGCTCCCACACGCTCCTGGCTTGGAGGTTGGGGGAATCCTGGGGGTGTTCGTACCAGGGTCCGCACCAGCTGTGGGTTCCAGGCGGTTCTGTGCATCCCAGGGGGGTTCGTACCAGCCCTCACCGGCGGTGCCTCCAGGACGAAGCCCCGGGATGAGCGATCCCGGGGGGGGTTCGCTCCGCACCGGGCACCGCCGACATATTATGCACACGTATGTCGTATGTATAAATATGTAGCGGAGTGCCAACACTTTGGCACAATGACAAATGCCCCCTCTCCTCCCCCCCCCCCTGCGCACCACCCCATCACCCCGCTTCTGGGCCCCCCGGTCTCCTCGGGCTCGCTTTTGGAGGTCCAGGCCATGTTCTTCTGCCCAAGGCTCAAGATGGCCCCGATGTGCCCCGAAGGCGGCCCAAGCTGGTCCCAATGAGGACTATGATGCTCGGGATGCGATCCCAGTGGAATGAAACATTACGCAGGAAGGCTCCAAGATTACCCCAGAAGCTCCCAGGACGCCCCACGAGATGCCCAAGAGAGCATCCAAGAGGCCCGTGAGACGCATCAATCGCTCATGTCGCATATGCGATGAAGGGGGTTCTGGTGATTAGGGTGACGCCTCTGCCTCCTCGCACTCCTGCCTTCACTTCTCCACACTCAGACTCACTCATATTCACTGACTCTGAGACTCACTCACACATAGACTCACTCTCACTCAGACTCAGATTTACTCACATTTCCCTCACACACTCACACTCAGACTCGCAAAAACATATTCACTGATGCTCAGACCCATTCATACTCAAACTCAGTCATACTCACTTACGCTCAGTTATGCTCAGATCAGTCATAGTCAGACTCATACACCCAGATCGCTCACACTCTACTCAGTCACGCTCAGACTCACTCATATTCAGGTTCACGCTCAGACGTACCCACACTTTGTCACTCGTACTCAGACCCATTCATACTCGCTTCTCGCACTCAGACTCGCTGATGATCACCGCGATGCAGTAGGTACAGCACGTGGGCAACCCAAGGGGGAGCCACCAAGGTGCAGCCTCGAGCGAGGCGCTCGTTTGGAGTCCCCGACTCAGGTCTTTGGAGAGCCTCATGATCATTGCGATCTAGCAGGCCTGGCATTGTTGAGCTCCAAGGGGAAGCCGCCAAGGGGTAGAACGAACATATCCTTGTTCGCGCCCAGATTGTGGGGATGTCTCGAGCAAGGCGCTCGTGTGGAGTTCCCGACCCCTGTCTTTTGAGAGTCCCATGACCATCGCGATGTAACAGGCACGGCGCTGGGGCATCCCAGCGAGAGCCGCCAGGGTGCTCCCCCCCCCTCCCCCGACTGCTTTCCTTTCAGAGTCCCAGGGGCATCCCGATGTAGCAGGCACAGCATTTGTGCACTCCGAGGGGGAGCCGCTAGGGAGCTCTCAGTCGCCACAGGAGCATGTGTGCACTCACAGTGGGACGTGCCAGGAAATGGGATGTATCTAAGGGGTTCTTCGCGTCGAATAATTTGACAGGGTTGGTGGAGGGAGCGTCGGCATGGTTCCTGGTTTCTCGCTTGTCGGGTGGGGGCAAAGGTCTGTACTAATACGAGCACAAATAACCCATCCCCAAGTGGAAGGGGCTTGTAAGAGGAACCGCCCAATACCACCTCCGCCAGAGGGCCAGTGTGCTTACTGACTGGCATGGTTCTCTTCGGTCTGACCTCGACCCTTCTGTATCTTCCTTCGGCCTAGCTTCCCTGCACGTTCTTCCTCCATCATTCTCAGTTTGCATGGTTCAAGAGTCGGCCGTGGAAACCCGCTCATGTATATGTATGGTTGTGTACACGCATGAATGTATGTTTGCATGCATGTATGTACGTATGCATGTATGTATATCTGCATACATGCGTATGTGCATGTGTGCATGCATGCATAAGCACATGCAGGCCTGGATGTATTCCTGTTTGTGTATGTGTATAGTTGTATACATGTGTGTATGTACGCATGCGTGCATGCATGCATGCATAAATGTATGTGTGTATAGGTGTACGTAGTTGTGTATGTATGGTTGTGTAGATGCATGTAGTTGTGTGTATGTCTGTGTGTATGTATGTATGCATGCATGTATGTATGTCTGTTTGTATGTACGTGTGTATGTATGTAATGTAATGACATGTAAATCAATGTAATGTAATGTAATGTAATGTAATGTAATGTAATGTAATGTAATGTATTGCACTGTAATGTACTGTTCTGTAATGTAATGTAATGTAATGCAATGTAATGTAATGCAATGTAATGTAATGTAATGTACGGTAATGTATTGTAATGTAATGTATGCAATGTATGGAATGTATGTAATGTATGTAATGTTTGTTATGTATGTAATGTTTGTAATGTATGTAATGTATGTATATATGTATGTATGTATGTATGTATGTATGTATGTATGTATATATGCATTTATGTATGTATGTATGTATGTACGTATGTATGCATGTATGTATGTGTGTATGCATGTATGTGTGTATGTATGGATGTGTGTATGTATGCATGAATGTATGCATATAAATATGCATGTACGTATGTAGGCAGGCATGCATGTATGTATGTATGTATGTATGTATGTATGTGTGTGTATGTGTGTATGTGTGTGTATGTGTGTATGTATGTGTGTATGTATGTATGTACGTATGTATGCGTGTATGCATGTATGTGCACAATGTATGTACGTAGGTATGCAAGCATGTACGCATGCAGGTATGCATGTATGTATGCATGCCTGTGTGCATGCATGCATGTACATATGTATGCATGCTTGTATGGATGTAGGTCGGAGGTTGTGGTTTAGGTCGCAGGGGAACGGAGACCCCCAACCAGGGAATCGTTTCAATTCGTTTGTGTCGTGCGTGCGGGCGAGGCGAAGCTGCGTGGGCGCCCGAGAGGAATGAATCCGCCGTTGCTAGGGCGAAGTGAAGGCAAATGATTCTCCTCCGTCCGTCTGGCGGTGGCCCTAGCCGTGTCCCGCGGTGTCCCGGTGTGTCCCGTGGTGTCCCGTGGTGTCCGCCGTTGCTAGGGCGAAGCCGGCGGTGGCCCTAGCGGTGTCCCGTGGTGTCCCGTGGTGGCCCGTGGTGTCCCGTGGTGTCCCGTTAAGTGAGATCGATCGTGAGATCGATAAGTGAGATCGATTCTGAGATCGATGTGGTGCCCCGAGGTGTCCCGTGGTGTCCCGTTGAGTGAGATCGATAGTGAGATCGATAGTGCCATCGACAGGTGTCACGCGGTGTCCCGTTGAGTGAGATCGATAGTGAGATCGATGTGGTGTCCCGAGATGTCCCGTGGTGTCCCGTGGTGTCCCGATGAGTGAGATCGATAGTGAGATCGATAGTGAGACCGATCGTGCGATCGAGAGATGTCCCGCGGTGTCCCGTGGTGTCCCGTGGTGGCCCGTGGTGTCCCGTGGTGTCCCGTTGAGTGAGATCGATAGTGAGACCGATAGTGCGATCGAGAGATGTCCCGTGGTGTCCCGTGGTGTCCCGTTGAGTGAGATCGATAGTGCGATCGATTGAGTCAGACGTTGGTTCCCCCCCTCTCTCCCCCCCCACAACCTCCTTATCACCCGAAGGGTGGTCGGGACACCACGGGACACCACGGGACACCTCGGGGCACCACATCGATCTCAGTATCGTTTCCCTTATCGATCTCACTATCGATTTCACTATCGATCTCATCGATCTCACTATCGATCTCACTATCGATCTTACTCAACGGGACACCACGGGCCACCACGGGACACCGCGGGACCCCGCCCGCCACCGCCGGACGGAGGATAATCATTTGTCTTGACTTCGCCCTAGCATCGGCGGACACTACGGGACACCGCGGGCCACCGCTAGGGCCACCGCCGGACGGAGGAGAATCATTTGTCTTGACTTCGCCCTAGCAACGGCGGACACCACGGGACACCACGGGACACAACGGGACACCACGGGCCACCGCGGGCCACCGCCGGACGGAGGATAATCATTTGTCTTGACTTCGCCCTTGCAACGGCGGGTTCATTCCTCTCGCGCGCCTGCTCAGCTTCGCCTCGTCCGCACGCACGACACGAATGAAACAAAACGATTTCCCGTCTGGGGTCTCCGTTCCACTGCGATATCACCCCTCAATTTCCGATGTCAATATGCAGTGTTGGTTGGTTTGTTGATTGGTTAGTTGGATGGTTGTATTGTTTTTTTGTGTTGCGTTGTATTGCATTGTACGTATGTATGTATGTATGTATGTATGTATGTATGTGTGTAGTTTATGTATGTATTGGTAGATATGCATGCCGGTATGTATATATGTTTGTGCGTATGTATTCGTTGTGTGTATTCACATGTGTGTATGTATGTACTCATGCATGTGTGCATGTATATGTACAGATGTATGCGTGTCTAGATGCCTTTATATGTTTGCTTGTTTGTAGGTACGCATGTATATGCGCATCTGTGAATATCTACATGCAAGTCGACGAGCACCATCATATGTTGCCACTTATGTTGCTGTAGGGCTAGTGGCATTGAGGTGCTCGGAGCGCCGCCCGAGCGCAAGTTAATAGTGCAGCAGTTGTGTTCTGATAGTTGCCGTTGCTCCTTGACGTCTCACCTAGGTTCGACATTTGCGCCCCAGAGAGGAACGGTTCTTCCATCTGTGTGGTGCTACATTTGGTCATACCATCTCCGATCACATCCTTTTCATTTTGACTTCAGCATGGGTACCTGCCCTGGCGTTCATTCCCATGCTCTATGCTACTGGGTTCGAGCATGTACGTCATATTTACGCAGAGTCGTCGTAACATGGATGCATAACACCCCGCAGATGCGGACACGAGTGAGGGGGCGGTAGGGACGTCGGTAGTTTGCGAGACTCTGGAGAAGCCCGTCGCAGACGCCAAAGTTTCACACACTATACAACGAGTCCGCCGCAGGCGCTGATTTTTTGGTTCAACCAATGTGGGTAGGTCGCTGGTGGGTCGCAAATCGGTCGCGGGTGGGTCGCGGGTGGATCGCTGTTGGGTCGCGAGTGGGTCGCGCGGGGGTCGCGGGTGTAGAGGGCAGAAAATCCACCCCGCAATAACCACCCCGACAAGCGAAGCCGTTTAGTAAACGCGCACACAAGGAAGGAATCGAACAGGACAGGGCTGTTTAGTAAACGCCCAGGGCCGTTTAGTAAACGTCAATTGTCGGGTCCGGGTGGTTTTTCCTCCCTTGAGAGTGGGTCGCGTGGTAGGTCGCGGGTGGGTCGCGAGGTGGGTCGCGGGTGGGTCGCGGATGGGTCGCGGGGTGGGTCGCAGGGTGGGTCGCGGGGTGGATCTCGGGTGGGTCGCGGGTGGGTCGCGGGTAGGATGCGGGGTAGGTCGCTGGTGGGTCGCGGGGTGGGTCGCGGGGTGGGTCGCCGGGTGGGTCGCGGGGTGGGCCGCGGGGTGGGTCGCGGGTGGGTCGCGGGTGGGACGACGACAACAAACAACGCAGCAACAGCAACAGCAACAACAACAACAACAGCTACAACGCAACAAACATAATTCTCACCACGAATTCCCTGTTCAGCCACGCATCCAGGGGTAATGGATGACCGTTCGGCCCCCTCACTCTGATGTGATTATCCATCCGACGATTCGCATGACGCGCAGAGGCGAAAGGCGGAGGGCAGGCGTGTTAATGGCGCAGCGTTTTGTGTATGTGTGTGTGTGGGGGGGGCGGGGCGGGGGGGGCTGGGGTATGGCCTCCCATGGCCTGGTGGCTGGGTCGAGCCTTGGGCATGTGGCATCCCATGGCCTACGACCCCCGCTATTCTTGGTTGTCAGTGCGGGCCGTGGGCGCACGGCCTCCCATGGCTTCCTGGGGCTCGTTGGCCTTCTGTGGTTGCTTCGCCTCCCAAGGCCTGGCCTCTTGCGGCTACTTGGCCCTCCATGGCTTGGCCTCCTGCGGATCTTTGTGGGTTCGCACGCGTTGCCCCAATAATCAACTCCACGACGGAGGCATGGAGGAACACAACGCGGAGAAGGAAGACGTGGATCAGGAGGGGAAAGGGGGAGAAGTAGAGGGAGGTCCTCAGAGATGGATCGTGGAGGGGAGGCTTGCTCCGTTTCCCCATCTGTTTGTTCCGTTTCCTCTTCTTCCTCCCCGATCCCTCCACCACCCGTCTTCCCCCTGCTTGTGCACCCGCGTTGCTTGTATGCTTTTTTTGGTTGAGAGCAGAGTGTTTGATCGGCCTCACTGAGAGGATCGGTGTCCGATCGCTCTCGTCGCCTTATTCCCTCCCTTGGAATCGACCTCGGGATATGGGGGGATGCTTGGGGGGAGCCCGCCTGGGGCCCATCGCGGGCGCCCGCCTGAGCTTCGGGGATTGGGGCTTGCGCTGGCTTCGAGCCGCCTTCCCGTTGGTCCGTCGAGCGTGCTTCGGCGACTTCGGGTCGGCCTTTGGGGCCGCGCGGGCCCTCGGAGCCCTTTCTCGGAGGTGGCGGGGCCGCTCCTCCATCCCTCCTCCCCCCACCTCTGGCGGGGGCAGCAATTACCATATCGGTGACCTTTTTGGAGTGGGGTTTTTTTCAGACGCGCGAAGTCAGGCGTCGGGAGGCCTGGGGCCTCGCCCCCGCCCCCAGGGGACCCTTAGGCTGGTAGTGAGTTCCCGCTCTCCTCCTGGAGCCTCCCTTCGCTCTCCCCGGTGGCTCCAGTCGCGTTCAAGATGGCCCCAGTGCCTCCCAAGACATTACGGGAGGGCCCCCGAAGGGCTCCAAGAGAGCTCCAGGGAGCCCAGCAGGCCCCAAGATCGCCACAACGGGGCCAGAAGAGGCCACACGGGAGCTCCATGCGGACCCCCACACCGTCCGTCTGCTCCAGTCAATCACATAGGGGAATCTGTTTGGTTTGGGGCGACTCGTGAAATTTTGCACGTACTCTGGAGGGCCTCGGAGGAGTCACAGAGCACCCAAAGGAGCCCCAGGAGTCCCAAGAGCGCCCCAGGAGGGCCCCAAGACGACCCAAGAGGGTCCGAAGACAGCGCAAGACGTCTCACAAGCGCTCCGAGATGTACCAAGAAGGCGCCAATACGGCCCCGCGAGAGCCCATGAACAACTACCTACGAGGGTCCAACAAAGCTCCTAGAAGGCCCCAAGAGGCTACAAAAGGGCCCCAAGAGGATCGCAATACGGCCCCCCAGGGCCCCAAGACAGACCTGAGATGGCCGCGCGAGTGCCCCGCGAAGGATGGTGATTTACAGGAGGCGAAGGAAGGGGTATACGACGAGGAAGTGGAGGAGGAACTCCCCGCCTGCCAGCCCTCATCCTCTCCTCGTTCCTCTTTCTTCCCCATCCTCGTCCATCATCCCTGCGCTCTCGTCCCGCCATCCCCCCTTGCCACGACTCCCCACCCACTCGCCCCTCCCCCTCCCCTGCCCGTGGCTGGCGGAGAGTGCGTGTGTGTGTGTGTGTGTGGCAACAGTGGAGGGCAGCATGTGCGCGCACGCATGTATACTTGTTTGGAGTCGTATACCCCTCACCCTAACCCGAACCAAGAGCCGCGCCTTCAGTAACGATGGCAGTGGAGTTAACCCACTGCTTTTTGAAGGCAGTTTTTGGTAACCAATAGTGAACATCGCAGAATACATGATGCGGAACTGAGCCGATCAACCCAAGCTACGAACTCTGGTGGTCGTTTCTTGTTCAGTTTGTACGTAAGGGTTATGTTTTCTTATAGTCCCCCATGCGGGAGCCTGGGCACCCGAAATCAGTAGCCAATCGTGACCCCGCATCGTGCCCTCTTCTGTGTAACTGTGTAAAGCTGTTTAGGGTCTTCTGCCGCAAAGTGCCATTGCGACCTAGCTCCCGGCGGCGAGAAGGTTTCGGTGTTAGATATAGACAGTGCACATTAGGCGCAGCATGCAAGATCATCTCAGTGATGTTGAAGTTCATGGGGAAGCTGTATCTGCGCGGGAGAGGCTTGTTATGTCCTTCCCGGCCCCTCCCTCCCTCGTTCTTCCCTCCCTCGTTCCACCGTCCTCTCTTCCTCTCTCCCTCCCCCTTGTCGCTCCCCCTCCCTAAAAGTAGGGTGCCAGCCACGGTACCAGCTAGAGTGCTAGCGGTCCGCCCGCTAGTAGACCTGGAAGCTTGGTCCGTGATCCTTCCCCCCTCCCTCCTTTCTCCTATTCCCCCGCTGCCGGCTCCCGACTGGGACCGGCACTTCCCGCACCGAGCGCAATTGTCGCCACGGTCGTGAGATCCTGGGAGGTCCAGCGGAGTGACGTCCTTCGCCGGTCCGAAGAGGGCCTCACGCTACTTTCGTGAGCTCCTGGGAGGCTCAGCGGAGTAACGTCCTGCACAGATCCAAACAAAACTTTCTTCCTTTGGGCGATGCCAGCTGTGCAACTGTCAGCACGTGCGTGAGATCGTGGGAAGTCCAGCGGGGTGACGTCTTACGCCTGCGATTGACGTTTTTCCGGCGTCGTCTCATATACGCATGTTTCAGTTCGACGAGCAACGCATGGGCTCCTTACTGAGTTTGCAGAAGGGACAACGCGCCATTTCAGTGTTCACTCGTCTTGGACGAGCCTGTTGGCATTGCGACTTGATAGTCCCTGGGTATTTTGCCGATGTGAACTCGATCGCGTCGCGGTGCAATCGGGCACCACTGGCTCTCAGAACAGATCCGTGATTTCTGAAGAAATACTGGCGCAAGCAGGAGTCAAGCACAAACCACGATGCCACATGATATGAATGGAATGGTATGAGGCCGTCCTCCCATGGCGACTGTGTCGCGGAGCCCCGAGGTTATGTCAGTGGTGCACGCGCTGTTTGGAAAAGGCATCTCGTTGCGAAGATTATAGGTCGTCCCCTTTGTTCGTGCATCCAGCTCGATTTGCCACACTTCTTTCTGTGAGCACGTTGCTGCAGAGTGTCACTATGGCGCTCACGGCATGCCATTAACCAGTTGAATGTTATTGCCCTCTTTTACTCCTCCACCTCTTTCTCCTCCTCCGTCTCCTGTTCCCACTCTACCCCCTCAACCTCCTTCCCTCGCCCCTGTGGCTGGGGAGATCGGTGGGGGGCTGCATTCAGGGGGGGAGTGCTGGAGATATCCGAAGCCTTGTGAGGAGGCCCAGACATGTGCCGCGACGCGGCCAGACAGAAGCCCCTTCGGAAATTGAAGAATACTTGCGTCGGACGTGTTTTTGTTGGGAGGGGGCTTTGAAGGTAAGGCGTGACCAGGCGGGGCCAGGACCGGGATGTATCATTCCAGAGCCGTCTGTAACGCTCTCAGAGCGTCTTGGAGCGCTCTGGAACGGCCGCGGCGCCCGATACATCCTCAAGAAACGCTGGATCTCAGAGATCCCCGATTTGTCCCAGTCCGAGTTTATCGCGGTCCTGATTTCGTCGTAGGTGAGTTACGGTATGTTCGTGTCGTGTCGATACGGCAGCGACCCCGCCGCAGGCAGTCAAGGTTCAGCGCCGCCTGCGGCCCAGAATCGGCCAACATGGAGCGATCAGGTGCTGGAAAAGCGATCAGGCGATGGAAACGCCGCCGATCGCTCAAGTTTGAACGATCCACGCGGCGTCAGAAATCAACACCTGGGTCGTAACCACACGAACCCACGAATGCGTGAGGCCACGACCGCACCAGCAGGTCTCGGGCACCCAGGGCGCTTCGCGGGGCGGCGCACGTCCGAGAACCGCTTGGGAGGGGCGGAGTCTCCTTTTCCTTGGCCTCCTCTGGGAAGCCTGGGTGACCTCGCCCGTGCACAGTGCCCCCGCTCTCCGTTTGCATCCTCGTCCGCGGGGGCCACGGTGCATGGCGAAGCCTTGAGAGGAACACCAGGTCACTAGATTGAAGGCGAGCGTGTTGGGAAAAGGGGGTGAAGGATGGGGGTGAGGATGTGGAAGTGGACGAGGAAGAGGAAGGGGACGAGTAGAGGGAGGTTAGCTGGGACAGCTTCTTGGAAGGATGATAAAGTGGCGACCTAAAGTTGAAGCTGCGAGCTGCTCAAGCTTGCCTAGAACGCGACGGCCAGCCACCCTCGAACAGCTCCAGCGGCGCTCTTAGAGTCTCGATGGGGGGGCGCTGCACGGTGCTGCGATCGCGCCCAGGGCCATCGTCCACGAACCCAACAGCTTTGTTCACGTACGTGCCCACGTGCTGCAAACACACGCACATGCACCCTGCCGCTTGTACACCGCACTCAGATAGCCAGAGAAGCCGGGCTTATCAAGGCCGAGTTGGGCAGCATGCTATGATATCGGTCTTTCAGAGAGGAAGAGGGAGAGCGAGGATGAGTATGTCCACACTTGCGGCCTTCTCTGTTTGCCTGGGTGCATTTGGGATGTTCAGGCCATCCCTTCTAGACTTCCCATCTGGCTGAGGCCGGATATCTCGGAAGTAGCCATGGAGGTATGCTCAGGACGGCGGGGCATCGGTCGTTGTCGTTCTCCTCCCCCCTCCGTATTTTCCTCTTTGTCCCAACCCTCCTGTGTTGGGTTCTCGTTTCGAAAAGAACACTGCGGTCGCGACTCCTTCTTCTCCTCCCCCTCCTCCCGCCTCCTCCTGCTCAGCGCCCTGGATGGCTGCGACGTTCGTGGGCTCCTGGGAGGTCCAACGGAGTCGGGGGCCATGCGCACCCATTTGAGACCTCGCGGCCCCCCTGGGTGGCTGCGCACTGCGCAATTGTCGCCACGTTCGTGGGCTCCTGGGGGGCACGGCGGAGTCGCGGAGTACGCTCACCCAGCCGAGACCTCGCATCTCATTGGGGGGCTGCGCACTGCGCAATTGTCGCCACGTTTGTGGGCTCCTGGGGGGCACAGAGGAGTCGCGGAGTACGCACACCCAGGCAGGATTTCGAGGCTGCCTGGGTGGCTGCGCACTGCGCAATTGTCGCCATTGTCGTGGGCTCCTGGGAGGCACGGCGTAGTCGCGGAGTACGCGCACGCCGCCGAGACTTCGCAGCTCACTGGGGGGGCTACGAACCGTGCATCTGGCGCCGCGTTCGTATGTAGGCTCCTGGGAGGCAAGGCGGGGTCGCGGAGTACGCGCACGCAACCGAGACTTCGCAGCTCATTGTGGGGCTGCGAGTTACGCAACCGTCGCCACTTCGGTTGGGTCCTGGGAGGCACGGCGGGGTCGCGGAGTACGCGCACGCAGCCGGGACCTCGCAGTTCCTTGGGCAGCTTCGCATTGCGCAACTGTCGCCACTTCCGTGGGCTCCTGGGAGGCATGGCGGAGTCGCGAATACGCGCACCCAGCCGATATTTCGCAGTTCCTTGGGCAGCTTCGCACTGCGCAACTGTGGCCACTTCCGTGGACTCCTGGGAGGCACGGCGGAGTCGCAGAGTACGCATACCCAGCCGAGATTTCGCAGCGTTTTGGGTGATTGCGAATTGTGCAATAGTTGCCACGTTTGTGAGCTCCTGGGGGGCACGGCGGAGTCGCGGAGTACGCACACCCAGACGAGATTTCGCAGCGTTTTGGGGGGGTGCGAATTGTGCAATTGCCGCCACGTTTGCGGGCTCCTGGGAGGCACGGCGGAGAAGGGGAGTACGCGCACCCAGACGGGACTTCGCTGCCCCCTGCGTGGCTGCGAATTGCGCGCTTGGTGTTACTTTCGTGGCCTCCTGGGAGGTCAGCGGAGTCGGGGGCCACGCGCTCCCATTTGAGACTTCGCTGCGCCCTGAGTGGCTGCGAACCGCGCAATTGTCGCCACGTTCGTGGGCTCCTAGGAGGTCCAACGGAGTCGGGCCACGCGCGCCCAGACAAGACCTCGCTGCTCCCTGGGTGGCTGCGAATTTGCGCAACTGTCGGCACGGTTGTGGGCTCTTGGGAGGTCCACGGGAGTTGGGGGCCAGTCGCACCCAGACGGGACATCGCTGCCCCCTTGGAGGCTGCACACTTTGCAACTGTCATTATTTTCGTGGGCAGCGGGGAGGTCGAGCGGATTCGCAGAGTACGCGTACCTAGACGATATTTCGCAGCTCACTGGGGGGCTGCGAACTTCGCAATTGTCGCCAAGATTGTGGGCTCCTGGGAGGCACTGCGGAGTCGTGGAGTACACGCACCCATTTGAGACCTTGCAGTTCTTTGGGTGGCTGCGAACTGCGCATTTGTCGCCACCGTCGTGGGCTCTTGGGAGGCACGGCGAATAGGGGAGTACGCGCATCCAGACGGGACCTCGCGGCTCCTTGGGAGGCTACGAAGTGGGCAACGGTCGTCACTTCGTAGGCTCGTGGGAGGCCTGGTGGAGATGAGGGCAGCGCAGATCATGCATATGTGGCGATGTGTTCTTTTGTACGGAGCGTTCATGCAGATCTTCGCCTCGCGTGGAGAAGGGGTTGGGTAAGTCTCGGGTTATTCTCTTCCTCTGCCTTCCTCTCCTCATCACATTCCTCTGCCCCAGACTGGTAGCGCAAGTCGACGCAACGAAGGGCAACGTTAGATTTGGGCCGCACAGTTTAGCACTGTTTGCGTTTTGCGCACAGCATGTTGGAAGGCTCAGGGCAGCAAAACGTGTTGTCAATGAACCGTTGGTCAAGCCGAAACCAACCATCCGACGTGGTGTCAGCCTGGCGTGAAGAGCACTCTGGCCATCACTTAGCAGTGCGGTGTAGTGACAGTGGCTGCGCCTTGGTCGCGTTCGGTAATGAGCACCAGCGCGAACATACTTCCTGGTTGCGTGCTGCACTTTCGCGCGGCTTCTGGCGGTTCCGCACGGGTCGGTCGCTGGGATCGGGTCTTTGTGCGCTGGTCGCGCGAAGTGTTCCAGGTGGTACGTCATCTTTCGGGTTTCCTGCCCCAGCGCCGTAACAGGTGGCACGTGACTGGGAGTCATCGCTTCGCTTCCCCACGGCTCTCGGCTGCCACCTCGCCAGGAAGACCACCGCGCTCATCGAGAGGAGCAGCCGGCAGGCGCGGTGGCGGCAGGCCCTCGAGGCCTTCTACGCGCTCGCCGAGGGCGGCCACGCCGCCGACGCGGTGGCCCTCAGCGCCGCGATCAAGGCGTGCTCCCGCGGGCAGCAGTGGGCGCGGGCGCTCGCCCTTCTGCGGAGCGCCCACCGCAGCGGCGTCCAGGTAGACCTTGGCGGGGGCAGAGCGGGGCGGGGAGGGTCCGTGCGGTTCAAGGACGGGGCCCTGGGGGATGGGGCCCTGAAGGACAGGAGAGGGGCCTCGAGCTGAGCCCTCGCCGTGGGAGGCCACCCGTCCTCTGGGCCCCATCCCTCGGGGCCTCGTGCCTCGTCCCGCGGGGCCCCATCTTCGAGCCGCCGGCAGGTCGCCCGCAGGGGCGCGGTGCTGCGCGCGCCCGTGGAGTGCCCGCCCCCCCCCCCCCACAGGTTTCACTGAAGGGAGATTTGCTGAAAGGGGGTCCCGTCAATCCTCGATTCTTCTCCACGGGGGGGGGGGGGGGCGCGCGGGAGTGTGGAGGGCATCGCGCACCGCGGGGGTGGGAGGAGGGCAGAGAGGGAGGAGGGGAGGGAGGAGGGGAGGGACGAGGGAGGGAATGAGGGGTGGTAGAGGAGCGGGGGAAGGAAAAAGGAGGGAGGTTAGAAGAGGAGGAATGGATGAGGGATGGAGGGAGGGAGAGGGTAGCGGTGGAGGAGGAGGGGGGGGCAGAAGGAAGCAGGTGACCTAGGTGACGCAGACAAGCCCAGTGCCCGGCCACCCGTAACAGCGGCGCGAACAGACCTAGTCGGAGGAGGGCCAGCTGAGATAGCGGCGGCTCTCCCGCCTGGCCCAGACCCGCGCAAAATCGGTGCCAGGATCCCTCCAAGGCTCCACCCCAGGATCTCCGAAGACATGATTTGGTTGAACCGACGGTTCTTCCGCAATCGTGGCCGTCTTCGGCCCTGGGACCATACAGCATTGATCTTGGACGAACGTTTGCGCATGGGGCAGAAGTCGGGAGCCTCTGGGGCCGCGGAGCGCAAGAGCCATATCGGCAGATGTCAGGGTTTCCGGACCCCTCCTGCTGACCCGAAGCGGATCCAGCTGTGGCGACGAGAAGCCTCTCCAGGAGGCCCACAGAGATGAAAAACGCCAGGAAGGGCCGCCGTTGTCTCGACTAGCCCTCTGGCAGCGCAGAGAGCAGCCAGGGCCCCCCCCCGCTCACCCCGCTGGCGGACGCGCTGAACTACGGGGGTCTCGCCAGCTGCTGCGGGGCCGCGCGCCAGTGGGCGTGGAGCATTGCTGTCCTCGAGTCTAGCGAGAGGCCCCCGACGTACCCGTCCATCCGCTGCTTCTCTTCGGCCCATCCAGCTCGCCCTTGCTCCAACTCGCCCCTCCTCTTCATCATCACCCCATTTTGCCCCCTGCTCTCCCTCCTCCGAAGCCATGTTGGCTCAAGAGCCTGCCGGGGCCCGCGCGTCCGTGCTGGAGTCTGATGCTCGTGCCCCGCGGCGGGTGAGGTCTGCGTTGCGTTCCAGTGTGCGTGATGTACGTGCTCCTCGGTGCTACGTGATTGATGGCGACTTCTTTTGCCACATTGGTGCCAGGGGGGGGCCAAGGCTGCTGATCGGAGGGCGGTGAACTTTTCTCTGCAGGGGGGGGCCAAGGCTGCTGATCGGAGGGCGGTGAACTTTTCTCTGGGTGCCTTGCGTTGCCTCGGAGCAATTTGTGAATACTGATACGCATAATTCGTTGCATTTCGCCCAGGCTGCACTCAGTCTTATTGCTCTTGGTTATGAATTGGGTCACGGCCTGGTTGCACCTTCGATGGGACTTTCCGATGCAAAGTCGCATGCACGATATTGAGCAGACTTCGAGTTTGCAGCGTTCTTTGGAGGTTGTCCACAGTGTCCCGCGCTGCCGGTCGCTGCACGGGATGCGGGACATTGCGCGGGAGCGTGGGGTTTTCTATCGCACAGCTTGGGCTCGGATGGATTCGATGCGCATGCGAGGTGATAGTGCGCGTCACAGACGATGGAACAGCTCCACTAGAACAGCTGTGGTGGTTCGGCTTTGTGACCATCTTGATCTCGCCGGGGCTTGTAGTGGAAAACTGAATCCGAATGCTGCCGAGTTTGTGCTTGCTGCTCCGGTTCCTGCTCGTCGTCCTCTCTAGGCTGTGATGCGACGGAGGTACGCCTTCGAGCACTGCGTGGTGGAACGTCAGAGTCTGGGATGGTGAGCGACGATGGCTCTGAAGAAGACGAGGACCAAGACCGCCCACGTGATGACCCACAGGAAGATTTGACTGATCCGATAGTTTTTGTTGAAGATGCGACCTACACATCCGGCAGCGGTTCAGCAGACAACATAATCAGCATGATGCATTATGAATGCGGCGATTCGCTCTATGAGGCAGACGACGACTTGGATGAGTCCGAAGGTCTGTTGTTGCATCTGGCTGCTGACTATGACGATGTGGTTTCTGGCAGCTTGTTCATGGAAGATGGAGGCCCCGAAGTTCCGAGGGCATATTGTGCTGCAGGTGAAGGACTTCGGAAATCCATTCGCGACCTTGCTCGTGGTGCTTCGTTGGACTCTGGGAGGAGAGACAGCGACCCTGCGTTCGCAGGACGAACAGCGCGTATTAATGAGGTTCGTCGTAATCCCTTGTTTGACACTGCTGTCGTCCTGAGACATTTCTTTTTGAGGATTCCGAAACTAACACGGCTAAGCCTCCTAGCAGTGGGGTTTGGGCGGTCGGGGGCGGGAAACGAGAAGATGGAGGCCCCGAGGTCCTGAGGCCATTTTCTGGAGCCGATGACGCTGACGCTGAACGAGATGCACTCGGCACTACCCTCCTTAAGGATGTTGTGGATCCTCGGTGTCATTATACGGAAGATAGGGGCCCCGAGGTCCTGAGGCAGGGAGCCGCCGATGATGAAGTTCGAAAGCCCATTCGCGCTACTGGCCCTTACGGTCCACAGTACAGTGCACGTACCGCATCTGATTGTGCTGTAGTTTGGGAGTACGTATCCGATGTGGCTTCATTGTTTGCACTTGTCACTGGGGTAGTGGAGTCTGTGACTGCATATACTTCGGCTTTTGTGAGCTTGAACTGCGAAGCTGGAGGCCTCGAGGTCCATATGGCACGTTATGAGACTGCTCGTTCTTATTATCTGGACGTTGCTGTCTTTAGCGCTGACGTATCGGGCGTGTAGTTTTGTTTGTTTGTAACGAGGTGGAACATAACATGGCCGAGCTTCCGTTCGTCAGTGCTGTGGCTTCAGGGGCGGGGGAAGATGGAGGTCCCATCCTCAGATGCCGAGGACGGACTTCGAAACACCATACGCGATGCTGAACGAAATGAACTCGGCACTGCCCTCTCTGAAGATGTTGTGGATCCTCGGTGTCAGTACAGGGAAGATAGAGGCCCCGAGGTCCTGAGGCACCGAGCCGCCCATGCTGGACTTCGAACACCCATGCGGGGTAGTGTTCCTGGTCCAGACCCTCTTCACTTGGACAGTGACTCAGAGACTGTGATTGCGGACGACGATGACATTGTTGATGTTGTGTGCTCGTGGATTCCTGCAGGCAGTTACGTACTCATTGGTTTGGCCCACTGGACGGCTCCTGCAACGATCGGATTCGCACGTTGGCTGTCCATCTCATTGAGAACATGCTCCCGTAGGACTCGCCGAGCCCAGCGGCGGAGCCTGGCCCTGCGCGGAGGCGGCGCGGAGCGGCGGAAGCCCGCACGAAAGGGTGGTGAGTATCTTGCGAAATCCTCCTCCTCCTCCTCCTCCTCCTCCCCCTCCCCCTCGTCCTCATCATCAGCAGCAGCAGCAGCATCGTCGTCGTCGTCATCATCATTCCCCTCCCCGAGACTCAGAGAATGATGGAGTAATTACGGGAGTTCCCAGAGAAAAGAGGCAGGTGAGGAGGACGAGGGATTTGGGGGGAGGAGGTGGAAAGGGGAATGGGGACGAGGAGAGGGGCGATGTGGGGGTGGGGGAGGTCGAGGATGGGGAGGAGCAGGAGCAGGAGCAGGAGCGGAAGAGCAGCAGCACGAGCAGCAGCAGCAGCAGCAGCGGCAAGCAGGAGAAGGAGGCCATGGCAGGAGGCGGGCGGAGAGGGGGCCGGATCTGTGCGTGCGGCGGGAGCCTCCCCACCATGGAGAAGCGCCGCCTCGGCCCCGACGTCGCCGCCGTCAACGCCGCCGCGTCCGCCTGCGGGGAGGCGCGGAGGTGGCCGGTCGCGCTGCTGCTCCTGCGGGGCGCCGAGGGGGGACGGGGGGTGCGTCGCTTTTGGGGGGCGCTAGCACCTGCTCCGGTCCGCGGCAAGGGTCACGCCGTGTTTCTTCCAGGGCGCCAAGGGGGGTGGGGGTAGGGGGGCCTTCGGCCGAGGAGCTCGGGCTCCCGGGCTGCTGGTGGGATGTCTCGCGCGTTGCGCGCCCGCTCGGGTCGGAGGCTCGAGTACCTGGCTTGATTGGCCAGTTGCTCCCCCGATCGGATTGTGAGGCCGCCCCCCACAGAGCCCAGCTTCGGTCCGAGAAGGCCACCCCTCAGTTTGCGCCACTGGGCCCGATGCCTTCCAGAGGGCCACGGGCTCGCCCAGGGTATCGCGGAAGTCTGCAGCCGTCAGGGTGATTTGCCTCTTCTTCCCAGTATCTAAAGGTTGCTCCTCGCTGCGCGCTCTACCGGGCAATTTGGTTCGTTCTTGTTGGCCGTGGGTTCACCGTGGGGGCCGCCAGTTCGCGAAAGAAGGGCGAACATGAGCAGAGCCCCCCCACTCTCCCAGAAACAGAAGAAGGGGGAATCGGTAGGCGACTCCCGAAGGAGGAAGGGAGGGGAAGGTCTCACTCACCCGACCCCCGCCACGGACATCCGAGCGGGGTGGCCGGAGCGGTGGAGGGTGGGACAGAAGGAGGCAGGGGGAAGAGGAGGAGCAGGAGGAACAGGAGGAGCAGGAGGAGGAGGAAGGAGGAGGAGGAGGAGGAGGAGGAGGAGGAGGGGGAAAAGGGGGCGTAGCTCGGAGAAGAAGGGGAGAGGTAGGGAAAGGGAGGGATGGAGGAGGCTTGGCCCCGGTCGGCGTTGGCAACTTCGTTTCCTCGGCCCTCAGGCATGAACTCACGCGGGCTGTCCCCCGACACGGTGACTTACGGCGCTGCGCTGTCCGCGTGCGAGCGTGGCAGGCGGTGGAGCTTCGCGCTGTCGTTGCTCACCGAGGGTCAAGGCCGGGACTCGCGTTTGGGCCGCGCCGCGCTTCTCACGCGAGCGGCCGTTTGCGCGTGCTCCTCAACACCCTTCCTCCCTTCGGCCATCATTATCCATCCCGTCCCACCCCTCTTCCATCCCGACTGATGCCGTCGTTGCATTCATCAACAGCAGCAACATGAATACTTTAGTGTGGTGTCGCTGGCGTATGATTGTTGGTTCCCGCACCACTGGCAACACCAAAACAGTCTTACTACCAATCGGATTGCCGTTGCCATCGTCGTATCCTTATGGACAGAGTTGCTAACCAGCAGTATGATCACAACAGGTGGTTGTTTGTTCTGTGCAGTGAGTTTGCCACTTTGTGGCAAACCATAGTTTTCAGTAAGTTCATGGTCCTTCTAAGCTAAAGTTCGCAAATTAGGATTCGTTCCGCGCGGCATACAATACCCATGGTTGCTTGCTTGACCAAATGGTATCTGCAATTTTCCCCATCTGTCATGACATGAAAACGGTCGCTTTCGAATGGCCTTCGGCCGATCCCGCCACCGTGCCTGGGTTGTGGACCATCGGCCTCTAGGATGTTCGTCGGGATGTCGCGGGGGACCTCTGGGGGGCCTCGTGGAGGCAGCTTCAAGCCTCATGGGGCTCGTGTGGGGGGACTCGTGGGGCGTCTTGGGGGCCTCTTGGGGACCTCCTGGGGGCCTTTTGGGCGCCTCCTGGGGGCACCTTAGAATAGAAGGCTCGAATTGTCGGTTCGGGCTCCCGCTCTTGGGACCCTCTTTGGGCCGTTTTGGGGCTCTCTTGGGCCGTCTTGAGCGCCTCTTGGGTGCCGTGTTGGGACCCTCTGGGGCCGTCTCGGGCCCCTTTTGGGGACCTTTTGGGCGGCCTTGGAGCTGTCTTGGGGGCCTCTGGGGCCGTCGTGGACGCTGTGACGACGACGAGAAAAGCGAACAGGTTAACGATGTACGCTTTCCAAACGGATTGGGCCCTCTCGGGGGCTCCCCTTGGAGCTCTCTTGGGGCGTTTCGGGGGCCCCTTGGGCCGTCTTGAGGCCATCGTGCACGTCTTGAGGAGCTCTTGGGCAGTTTCGGAGGGAAGCCTTTGGGTTTGTTGGGGGTTTACTTTGACCCCCTTTGCCCGTCTTGTGGCCCGGTTGAGCTGGGTCACCACCCCAGAAGCCCATGCGACATACTCTGGCAGCGCCCAGTAGCGCCCCAGAGCGCATCGGAAATCGGGGTTCCAGGCCTTTAAGAACCTTACACGCCCTCTACCTCTCAGGCTGGCATTAGCCTTGGAGCATTCCGCTACGTGTCGAAGGCACGGTGGCGGATTTTTTGTTGGGACGGCATGCGCAAAAAAAACGTGCTCCTATTTTCAGGAGAACGATGCAACCTGTTCACCCAGCACACAAGAGATGCAGTTACAGTGTTTGCAGTACGCCTCTTCTGTGGCACTCACAGGCTCAAGTGCCACACAGCTTTCACCAAAATCTTACACCATCCTGAGCTTATGTTTCTTCTTTCCTTCTGTGGCAACAACTGCACTGTTGAACGACAGCATCCGAACATTCGGGGTCGGGGACATCCACAGCGCCAACTCTGGAGAGGGAGGCCCAGGCCATCGAGGACGTGATTGAAGCGGATTCCGAGGGGGCATATGTGGAGATTGAGGATGATGCGGGCTGTCCGACCGTGGTGGCGGGGAGCAAGGGGAACAGGGGGAGCAATGGGAGCAAGGATGAGCAGGTGCCTGGGTGGGCTGTCTCCCAGGTCAAGGTACCAATTCATTTCGTCGGCATGGTGAAAAGCATGCTGACGAGTCTCAAGGAGACGCAGGCAGGGCTTCGCGAGGTAAACGACGAATTCGCACATGTCAAGATGCAGGCAGGCCTGGCGCTTGCGGCAGCGGAGGCAGCGACGGACAAAAGGTGACCATGAGCGAGGATCTGGTGAGAGAGATGAATGGCAACATGTTGTTCTGGACTGATGTTGAGACCGTCGTCGCGGGCGAGAGTGGATGCAGTCAACGGGGAAGACGCAGATAAATTCGCGCGCGAGGAGTCCCTGGTGATTAATTTCATCGAGGACTCGATAATGACCAACGTGGAGGGCGTAGAGGAGACCTACGCCCTCAGCTTCGACAGCGTCGGATTCGCGCGGTTCCAGGCGCTGGGTTTTTCGCGCAATTTCATTCGCGCGGTCAACGGCAAGCCCAAACCTGCTTTTGAGGGAAAGCATTGCGGGCGTCATCTTCGAAGAGCAGGGAAGAGTGCGTCCGCGGAAAGACCCTAGGCAAGCACGTGGGAGCGATGATAGAAATCGGCGGCATGGCACCAGTTAGCGTTCGAGTTGATTATCGGCGGCGGTTCTTCTAGTAGGTCGAGCGCGCGTCGGAGCGCGGAAGGGGGGGCGGGGGCGGCGACGCGGAGCTCGGCGGAATGGAGTTCGCCGCGGCCGGCGTCGAGACGGGGGCGGGGACGCCGAAGGATGCCGTCGCCGAGGCGGCGGAGATGTAGGACGTGCCTTTCCTTCCAAGGAGAAGGGGGAGCACTCGGGGAAGTGCGCGGTCGCCGGAGGGCGAGGGCGGCCGGGGCCGGGGGGAGGGCGCGAAGTTTGAGTTCGGACACCGTCGGGGCGGGGCCGCGCAAGGCAGTTCGGAAGCAGAGCGTTCCATCAGTTTCACCGCGCATGAATTTAACGCGCGTTCATTGATGAATTTCGAGGACCGCGTTGAACGCTGCTTGGAAGAGTGGCGGAATCCACGTTGGGGCGCAACGGTCTTCTTCGAGACGTGGCCCGAGCGGAGAGTAGAATGGTGGGGCGCGAAGCACGGGCGCAGATGGTTCGGCGGCGGCGGTGCCGGACGCCCACGGGGAGCGGGTTTCCTATTTTGCGAGCGGCGGCGCCGCGAAAGATTCGAGCCCCTGTCTGACAGGGTGGCAGTCTTAAACGTAAAGCTCCAAAACTCCGGTGTTATTCCGGCCGCTGCCGCTCGCGCGCCTCGCGCCGAGCAGGAGGAAGAACGCGTTTCGGATGCCGTTATTCCCACTGTCAGTTCATGCGAGTTAACTCGGATGCGCGGGCGTCGCGGCGACGGCGAACATCGCGGCGACTGCGGCGGCGTGGCCGGGGCCCGCGGGCGAACTTGCGCCCCGCCCTCGTTCCTGGAGCCCCAGGCCAGATTTTATGGGGGTGGCGCAATTTCCGCGGGCAATGTTACCCTGGTCGTTCTTCCGCTTACCTCAGGCTCTCTTGTCGCATGCGTAAAACGTCGTTGTTTTATGTATCGAGCGACGCGCCTTTACTAAAGCCGTTTTTTCGCTTGCATGAGTAAAGCCGCTTCTTCGCTTTAGTAAAGCCGTCTCCTCGCTGTAGTAAAGTCCACGGTCGCCCTTAATAAAGCCTTGGCGACGCGGTGGTGATGCGGGGCCAGGACCCGGTCGGGGGGCGGGGGGCCTTCGTCTTTCTTGCCGGTTCACCCCGCGATGCATTTGCTCGGGTGTACTCAGGGTCGCGCTTCATCAGGTCGCGGCGACCTTTGGACATGTTTTCAGTGAGTTGCTGATGCTCCTTGACAGAAGATTCAGAGCGCGAGCGCAGGGCGTGGCTCGGCAATTCGGACGCGCTGCCGCGGTTGTCGCGCAACAGAGCAAAAGCACTCTACAAAAAGTCTTGCTTCATTCGTAAGTAGCCACTAGGTTGCCGCTTCAGGGCCGCAGGGGATTTCAATGCTGAGACTGGCCCACGTTCAGACTGCGATAATTTTCGCTTCGTGGGTGACGACCCGATGCCAGCGCGGAGCAAAAGGGGAGATTGAATTTCGCGGTGGAGTTTGAGTCGCGGCATGGCCGCCGCAAGCTCGTTTTTCGCAGCGACCGCCGAGGAAACGCGGGCGTTCCGGAATGCAGATCGCTGGCCTCTGCTCGACTACGTGTGCGTAGACCTCAGTCTGAAGTAGCACGTCTGGAGGTGCGTTGTGGATCGAAGCGTCGCTATTGGGTCGGGCCACAGACCATTGCGCCTCGAGCTGGACATCCTCGTGGACAGGCCCCGCGGGCGGAAGCGATGGAGACGCGGCGTCTGTGTGTCTGGACATTCGTGCGCCCGCGGGCTGGATTCGATCTTCCGCGAGGCCGAGCGGGGCGCCCTTTCAGCTGCGGAGAAAGCGGGCGAGATCCTCGCGCATGAGAGAGAAGAGGCGGCCGGCCGAGACCAATCGAGTCCGCATTCAGGCACTTAGGGTCAGGGGCCGCCTACGTCGACCCTTGACGTCAAAATCCACGCGCTCATCCATATTCGGAAGCAGCTTCGCGCATCTGACCGGACGCCCGAAGGAAAGAAACGATTGCGCGTGGAGTGGGGCGAGGCCACCCTCCTCCCTCTCCCTCGTCTCTTCTTCACGCCTTCCTCCTCTCCGCCTCCCCCATGCTGCTTCTGCTTCCCAACGCTGCACGACGGCCCAAGAGGTTCCCAAGAAAGCACCAAGACAGCCCAAGAGGTCCCCGCGACGGCCCGAATACGACGCAAGAGAGCGCCAAGACAGCCCCAGATGCCGCCACTACGGCCCAAGAGGCCCTCAAGACGGCCCCAAGACAGGGGGAATAGCGGGGATCCAAACCGACATTCCCAGCCCAGATGCCAAGAACCCAAGGGAGGCACCCGAAGTGCCCCCAAAAAGTCCTAAGTGGCCACCAGGCAAACCTCCAACAATCGGAGATGCCCCACCCACCAGAAACCCACAAGAGCCCTCCAATAACGTCCCTCAAAGGTATTTTCCAACAAAAGCATCCCAGCATGGTTTTGACAGGCTCTTCGGGGTTCTCGGGCATCCCCCGTTAGGCTGCCCTGGGTCCCCCTCTTGGATGCCTTGCGCGACTTCCAGGAGCCTTGTTCAGCGAGTCCTGAAGCATGCACCACGAGGTACGTTCCCAGATCGTGACCCTTGCGGAATGATGTCGATCCTCATCCGATTTTGTGTGGTTGGCTTGGGCTGCGCTAGAATCTAAGCGCGCGTGAAGCGCGCGTGGTTCTAGTGTGTGTGTATATACATACATACATACATACATACATAGATACATACATACATACATACATACATACATACATACATACATACATACATACATACATACATACATACATACACACATATATATATATATATATACATATATATATATATATATATATATATATATATATATATATATCCGTAAGGGCTTCGCCCCCTGCCGCCGGCCCCCTCTCTCGGAGAATGGGCCATGGAAGAGCTAAGTCATGAGGCCTTGGCGCTGTCGTGAAGCAGTATCGAAACTTCATGCGAAGCCGATTCGCAATCAGCAAAACCAACTGATCACAAGAGGGGTTACCACACCTGGCGATTGGTAAGACGTGTATGGTTTACGGGCTTGGTTACCACACCTTGCGATTAAAGGGCCGAGGGAGTTCTCGCAGTTTGGGTTACCACGCCTTGCGATGGATGTGCGTGAAGGGTGGCACCGAATTTCAGAAATGTGGCAAATCCCCTGTGTTTTTGGACCCTGACCCCGCGGATCTGCGTGAGGGGTGGCACCGAATTTCAGAAATGTGGCAAATCCCATGTGTTTTTGGACCCTGACCCCGCGGATCTGCGTGAGGGGTGGCACCGAATTTCAGAAATGTGGCAAATCCCTGTGTTTTTGGACCCTGACCCCGCGGATCTGCGTGAGGGGTGGCACCGAATTTCAGAAATGTGGCAAATCCCTGTGTTTTTGGACCCTGACCCCGCGGATCTGCGTGAGGGGTGGCACCGAATTTCAGAAATGTGGCAAATCCCATGTGTTTTTGGACCCTGACCCCGCGGATCTGCGTGAGGGGTGGCACCGAATTTCAGAAATGTGGCAAATCCCCTGTGTTTTTGGACCCTGACCCCGCGGATCTGCGTGAGGGGTGGCACCGAATTTCAGAAATGTGGCAAATCCCTGTGTTTTTGGACCCTGACCCCGCGGATCTGCGTGAGGGGTGGCACCGAATTTCAGAAATGTGGCAAATCCCAAATTGTGTTTTTGGACCCTGACCCCGCGGATCTGCGTGAGGGGTGTCGATTTCGAGCCCCCCCAGCAATTCAGACAACGCGCCCAGGAGGTGCTAAAAATCGGTTTGGGCCTCCCCCCCCCTCGCGCGGTCAATCAACTAGTTACAGTAACCAGCAAGAAGCAGAACTGCAACACTGGAAACTACAAGCTACAACTGGTACAGGAAACTGCGAACCTCGCGCCTACAGCCTGGTGGCCCCACAAGGGGGCCGGCGGATATATATATATATATATATATATATATATATATATATATATACATACACACACACACACGTTCACGAATAAAGAGGGGATCTGGGAAACAGGGACAGAAGAAAACGAGCGCCTTTCCAGGCACACGGGAGCTGCTCTTTCTCGGTACCGAGCAGCGTGCACCGCGAGGAACACGAAACGAAGCGCTGGAACGAACGACGCCATCATGTGGAAGCATTCGCCAGGCTGGACACGTGCTGCCCACGCTGCCCCGCGCTGACAGGTATTCCCACCGTGGGGGTGCTGGGGGGCGAACAGGTCATCACAGTGTTGGGTTTGCCGTCCAGTCTGCGTGCTTCTGCCAACAGCCTTCGTGATCGTTCGTTCTCCCAGGCCATCGATTCCAAAGCACGCCGTGGTCCCATCCCCCCCACCGGTCAGATACTCGAGAGGTCGCGCTCCGCGGCGCCTCGCGGGCCCTGCTCGCGTTTCTTTGCGCCCGCTTTTCTAGCTCCCCCCTCCTGTTCGAATAAATAGTAGTTCGCCCCCCCCTCTCCTCCTAATATTCCTCGTTATCCTACCCGTCATTCTCTACCCCCGTTCCCTGTTCGTCCTCCTTCCTCCTTCTGCTCATCCTCCTCTCCATTCTCGTCGTTTCCATCCCTCTTATCATGATGTTCCTCCTCGTCTTCCCCTCCTTCCTTCATGCGTTCTTGAACTACCACCCTGGCCCACTCATGCAGAGCGAACACAGTCAGAGTCGTGCAGAGCCGCAGGACGCTAAGAGCACAAGGCAACATAAGTACTTCCCTCCCCTTGAGTGTCCCCATGCGGTAATTATCTCTTCCTCCTCCGCCTCCGCCTTCTCCTCCTTTTGATATTGTTCCGTCTCCTCTTCCTCCTTCTCATCCTTTTTCTCCTCGTCCTCCTCCTCCGAAGGTACTGGCGCTCCTCCTCCTCCTCCTCCTCCTCTCGCTTTTCCTCCCCTCCTCTCTCTTTTCCTCCCCTTCCTCCTCCACCTCCTCCGCCTCCTCCTCTTCCTCCTCCACCTCCTCCTCCTCCCCCTGATTATGATTCCTCCCTTCCTCCGCGCGGACAGGCAGGCAGGTGGAGCTCAACGCGGTCGCGTGCGGTGCGGCCATCGGAGCCTGCAGGGCGGGGCGCGCGTGGGCGCAGGCGCTCCGCATCCTGGGGGGCGCCAAGGACGCCGGGCTGGAGGGCCCGTGCCTTCCTGGCGGCAGCCCCCTCGCCCGACCCCTTTCTGCGCGCCGCCAGGGTCAAGGGCCCGCTCCTGGCTCCTTATGTTGTCCTAGTCGGGGCGTCGAAGTACGGATCACGTCTGGTTCGGAAGGGACTCGGTGTTCCTCGGGCCTCTCTGCGGCGGGCCCAGCCGGAAATCCGAGCCTGGGAGACGTGGAGCTTCGTTCCAAAGTCCGCAGGCCGAGGGATTTGTTTTGCTATGTTTTGCCTTGCCAGGCCTCTGCATGCTTCATCGTCGCCGCGGCTAGGTCCGCTCCGAGATTCTGGTCGGGGGGCGCCCCCAGGCAGGTGCTGGGGCCAGTTTCTGATGAGAACGGGTTCCCGCAGAGGGGGTCAGGAGTTGTTTCAGAGCGGGACTCTGCGGAGAAGGCTGGGAGGAGAGCAGGAGGCCAGGAGGGGCGTTGGGGAGGAGGTTGGGGATGATCTACAGAGGAGCCCAGGGGTGAGCGTTGCGGAGGAGGCCAGCAGGAAGGCGGGAGCCGTTGCGGAGGCGACCAGGAGGAAGGTGGGAGCCCGTGGGGGCGTTGCGGAGACGAGTTTGCTGGACGTACTGCACGCGAGGCCAAGGGGGATTTGCAAGGATGTAGCGTTCGCGGGCGAGGGTATCCTCGTTGAAGGAGGGCGCCAAGGACGCTTGGCTAGAAGAGGTACAGCCCCCTGGAGAGCGAAAACATCGCCAGCGACCCAGAAACAAAGTGAATGCGAGGGGGAGAGGGAGGGGAGAGGGAGGATGATGAGCAGGAGAGGGAGGAGGAGGAGGAGGAGGAGGAGGAGGAGGAGGAGGAGGAGGAGGAGGCGGAGGAGGAGGAGGAGGAGGAGGAGGAGGAGGAGGAGGAGGAGGAAGAGGAAGAAGAAGAAGAATAAGAAGAAGAAAACGAATAAGAAGAATAATAATAAGAAGAATAATAATAATAAGAAGAAGAAGAATAATAAGAATAAGAATAAGAAGAATAATAAGAATAATACTAATAATAATCAGAAGAAGAATAAGAAGAAGAAGAAGAGGAGGAGGAGGAGGAGGAGGAGGAGCAGAGTAACCCCGAGTAACCGAGGAGGGGTAATAGGTAGGAGTGGAGGAGAAAGAGGAGGAGGGTGTGGAGTAGGAAGAGGAGGAGCAGGAAGAGGAGTTTATTTGTGATTTCTCGGTTTTCATTTACGCATTTCCGCCGCCGTTCGGGTGCTCAAGGCGCAAGGGCCGGCACAGGTGCCGGATGTTCCCGCCGTGGCTGGGGCTGGTCGTTGCTGTGGCCGGCGCTGGGGTAGTGAGCTACCTGGCGCGCTGCCCCGCCTGCCGTGCGCCGCCAGCCGCCGCGGGCTGCAACGTGAGCTTGGTGTGCCAGAGAATCCCTCCGTGTCCCAGACTGCCCGCCGTGATGAGAGGACGGCAGTGGAGCAGGCCGCTCCACCACCGCCTGCACAGGGAGGCCCTCCAGCCGAAGCCTGCCCCAGCGAACAGGTGTGCGAGACTGGTTGGACGGGCCTCTCACTCTTTGTCGTGGGCGCTGATCGTCGGGGCCGTGGCTACGGGTGGGCTGACGCTTCTTGCCAGAGGAGGTTCTCGCGTTGTGTCTCGCAGTGGCCCGCGCAGCCTGACACTTGAGTCTGGCAAGGATGGCGGCCACCCAGTGGGTTTTCGTTTGGTACGCCGGCGAGAACAAGTGGCACCAACACGTCAATCTGGGCCGCATCGCTTTGAGTAGGAGCGACCACGTCATCTATACTGCCGATGCCGATTTGTACATCATCTCGTCGTCTGACAATCCACACATCCAGGCTGCCAGGTTCGGAAATTTCGCTGTCGCTCCCATTGGCATCCGTCGCGCGGACGTCTACACTTTCCGAGCTGAGCCTGCCCAGGCAGAGATCCGCCAATTGATGGCCGAGGCAGACGAGGTGGTTGGTCAGGAGTGTCGTCGGAGGGCGGAGCTCATCGGAAACCTCCAAGTGGTGCGCGGGCTGAAGGTACTGGTGTCTCCTGGCGGCGCCGCGGCCGCGGGCCCGGCGGTGCAGCCCCCGGGGCCCGCGGTGGGGCTGCTGCGTGGCCGGCCACCGCCAGCGGGGGCTGCGGCGGCGGCTGCGCGTGCGGCTGGCGCTGCGGACCCGGCCGAGGGGGCTTGGCGTGTGGCTGCCTGCCGTGGCGAGTTCCGCGTGGGGGACGAGGTGGTCGAGCACGTCCCGACTGCGTCGAGGGTTGGCGACCAGGACATCCACGTGCTGCCGTCGGACGAGGGGCTCCTCGTGGAGTACGTGACGGCCGCCAGCCTCCCAGGCTTCCTGCAGCGGGCTGACGCCCGCATCCTCCCCGTCATCCGCAACAAAAGGGGGAGGACGGAGCTCGCCTGGGCTGGCATGGTGGAGCCCGCGCGTCGCGAGGAGTTCGAAGCTGCCGACTGGGGCCTTCCAGGGCCTCGTACGGCGGACTGGTGCATGGAGTACTTTCTGAACGAAGGGTTGGGCATCGAGGGCCATCATGAGCACTTCGATCTGCAAGCTCGCCGCGTCGGACTGGAGGGTGCAGGAGCATGTCCAGCTGACGCCCCAGATCAAGCGGGCCCTGTCTGTTGATATGCTCGACGGGACCTACCTAGTGTCGATCGAGACCAAGTTCCGGAGGATGCAGCCATGGGGACAAGGCGAAGGACCAGGAGAGCAAAGGGATCGGGGGGAAGCTCACGCTGGAGCTTCCTCGGGTGTGACCCGGGCCCGCCCTGCCTTCGCGATCGCGATCGGTCCTGAGCTGGTCGAGCACGCGAGGTCCGAGCTCGAGCGAGAGGGGAAGTTGCACGAGAACCTGCGTCTGGCGCGCGAGGAGCGCGAAGCCAGGCGCCAACGCGGGTAGGCCAAGCCTGGCCGCTGGGGAGAGCAGGTGCCCAGACGGCCGTCATCTCACCTGCAGGGGTCCGCCCACCTCGATGGCCCCAGGCGTCGCCACCCTAGGTCGGCGCGTCCCTCGTGATGTTCTGCCCCTGCCCTACCGCTATCATCTTCGGCATTAGCGAGAAGAAGGCATGGGTCGTCTCAGCCGCGGTGCCCAGCAACGCCCCTCTCGGAGAGCTAGTTTTGAGAAGGACGCGGCCCGGGCTGTGAACGCATTGAATTAGTTGAAAGATCCGTCGCGCCCGGTCGCTGGCGACCGCCATTCTTCAGCAGGTGCCCTGTCGCTCGCTCAGCGCCAGCGTCTCAGGCACGCCCACAGCTCAGCGGGGATCTCGGCGGGCCTCCGCGAGATCTGTCTCCCGCAGAAGCGCCTCAGCAGCTTCGCGCGGCTGGGGTCGGCTGCGACGTCGAGGTGTCGCCCCTCGGAAGCTACGGCCCCGCGCTCGTCTCCTTGCTGGGCGGAGCTGCGCCCCCAGTGCCGCTCGCGGGCGCGCGGGCCGATGGCGGAATATCCAGGAACGCGCCGACGGCCGACGTTGCGGCCGCTAGACTCGAGGCAAGACTCCTCGCTCCGATCCCCGGCACAGGCGCGCGGGAGACTGGGGGGGGGGGGTCGTTCGTGGTTTACATCAACGCAAGCTGATTGACTACTCACTCGAGGACGGTGCGAGAGTTGATGCATGTTTAGTCAAGAACAGAGAGGGTCGGCTACGCATGGTGATCGACTGCAGGCGCAGCAACGTCGCCTTCGCTAGCCCCATTCCCGTCACCTCGCCGACTGGCGACTCCTTCGCGGCGCTCGAGCTGGACGGCCCTGAGGGCATCCTCGCCGTCGAGGGGGTCGACCTGGAGGGCGCTTTCTGCCGCCTCGAGCTGCCGCGGCAGCTCGGGCGCTTCTTCGCGATGCGGCCAGTCCTGGCGGGCGCCGTGGGCGTCCGACATCGAGGGCCGCGTGGTCGACCCCGCGACCAAGGTTTTTCCCAGGCTGAGGGTGGTGCCCATGGGCTGGTCATGGGCCCCATGGTGGTGCCAGTCCATCATGGAGCACGTGTCCGAGCACGTCGGCTGTCCCGAGGCGGCTTCGTGGCGGTCGGCCCGCCCCCGGCCTGTCCAAGTTCAGCCACCTCCAGAGCGTGGATAACTTCGCGAGCCTCGGCTTCGACGGCAAGGCCGTCCGCGCGGCGGCCCCGCGGGCGGCGGCCGAGCTGGGGCGCCGCGGGCTCGCGGCGACAATGGAGGACAACGCGGGGGAGACCGATGGCACCAACGACGTCCTGGGCTGGGGCATCGCTAGGTCGGAGATGTCGTCGGCCTATCGGACGCGGCCGTGGCGGGCTCGGCTCGCCATCAGGCGCCTGCCGTGCTGGGGCCGCTGTCGCGGGGCCGACGTCGAGAAGGTGCTGGGCCATCTCGTCTTCATCGCCCGCGCGCGGCGGGAGGGCCTCTCTCTCTTCGAGGATTTCTTCAGGTTCGCGCAGACGTCGCGCCGCGCCGAGATGGCTTTTTCCGGGGCCGCGCGCGCCGAGCTCATCGCCCGGGGCGGCCTGGCGCCCCTGCTCTGGCGGGGCCTGCGCGCGGGCTGTTCCGCGGACGCGGGCGCCGTCAGCGCCTCGCCCGGGGGCCTGGGCGCGCGCCGAGCGACGCGGGCAGCCAGCGCGGTGAGGTCGGCGGGCCGCATCTGCGAGCGCTGGCGCTTCGGGCGGGCTGAGAGACTGCCTCCGCGCCGGCGCGCCCAGGCGGCCAGCCAGCTTGCCGCCTTCGAGCCGCCGCCCGAGCCCCGGGCGGCCGTGCCAGTCGGCCCGCCCCTGGAGCTAGATCTCGCAGATTTCCCGGAAGTTCCAAAACGCTTCTTGAAGCGTTCGTCTTGGACAGTCACGGGTAGGAAGCGGGGTCGCGCGGAGCCGATGCCCATGCTTGAGGCCAGGGCCGTCTACTATCATCTTCGCCATGCCCTTCGGAATGCTAGCAATCACGGTGAGGGGATCCTTGTGCTCGGAGATCCCCTCGCGGCTGTCGCCGCCTCTTCCCGCGTGCGAGCCCAGTCTCGCGCGATGTTTCGCGTCGCGCAGCGCATCTCCGCCCTGTCTGGCTCCCGGGTCCTACTTGCGTGCGAGGTAGGCGCCCGCGGAGTTCAACGTGGCGGATGGGCCTTCAAGCGGGGGCGGTCTCCAACGAAGCCTTCGGAGGTCATCATAAAGCCCGAGCTCGCGCCCAAGCACGGGGCCCCCCAGACTTCGAGGCCAGCAAGCGTGCTTCCTCAGACAAGCACGACAGCATCAGTTACACGCACGACACACTAGACCATCACGTCTCCGCAGATAAGCTCGACATCATCAGTGACAGGCAAGGCACAATGACAAGCACGACGTGGTAGATAAGCGCGACATCAACAGCGGCAAGCACGACGTCATTAGCAAGCACGATATTATCACCGGCGCAGCCGGCATCAGCAACCACGGCACGGTCGGGAGCCACTTCAGCCAGCATTCGCACAGTATGCAAAGCACCCTGGGGCCGACTCCGAGTCTGTCGCGTTTTGTTTTGGTTCGGACTTTTCAGCCTCGCTTCTGACGGCGCCGAGAGGAACCGCGGCGCCTCGACTCCCCTGTCCTGCGCCCTGGCATGGTCGGGCGCTCGCGGGCGCGGAGCGGTTTGCCGCGGGCCCAGCCTGCGTCGACCTCGGCAGCCTCGCGACTGGACCCCCCGGATTTGCAGGGCTGCTGAGCGCACCAAGGGGCACGGGCGCCGTGGTCGCTGCGACGGGCCTCTCGCAGGGCGCGAAGCGCAGGCTGGCGGCAGCTGCGGGGCGGTCTCAGATTCCACAGGAGCGGGCCGCCGAGATCCAGCCGCCAGTGGGCGCCAAGGTGCTGAACGCGGCCGTTGTGCGGACCGCGCGCGGGAGGGAACGCGGGAGGGAAGCCTACCTCGTGCTGCGCAACCTGTTCGCGCCCTGGGCCAGGGGCCAGTCCTTGGCGCTCGGGACAGCGGCGCAGGTGGGCGCGGCGGCGGCGGGCTACCTGCGCCAACGAGGGACGGCGCCTCACTTGCGCCAACCGCCTGATTGCCGCCGTCGCCTGGGCGCGTCGAGTGCTCGGCCGGCGCGGCCGGCTCCGCCTCCCATGGGCGAAGCAGGCGGCGGCGGGCTGGTACCTCCGCCGAAGAGTCGGCAGGCGCTCCCCATCGAGGTCGTTTTCCTGATCGTCAACTGGCCTGCTGCTCTAGCGGTCCTTCGAGGCAGTCCCGGCGCGTGGTTGCCGTTTGAGATCTACAGCGGTACTGTCGAGATCCACGAGTGGAGGGCCGTGGACCTCGCCCCGCCGTTGGCGTCGCGGGGGTCAGCCCATTGCTGCTGGCGCCTGACCCTGCGCGCTGCCGAGGCGGGCGAGGTCTCCAAGACGAACGAGTTCGGCAGCGCGGCGCGGCTCGACCTACTTCGCCACCGGCGCCCGGCAGCAAGTCTCGACTAGATGCTGGCGCGCCGCTGGGGCGAAAGGTGGAGGGCCACCGCGGTGGCTCGCGAGGCCGGGGCCGCTGGTTTGCCTGACTCGCTCTTTTGCATCTCCGCCGCAGACGTGTCGAAGGAGTTCAAGAAGGCGGTGGCCGCGCTCGGACTCGGGCGCATCGGGGCGATCGGGCGATCCACCTCTACCAGCTTCGCCGTGCCGGGCCGTCGCGCGACTCAGCCGCCGACTGCCAGACACTGAAGGAGATGTGCCACCGCGGCCGCTGGCGGACATGGAGCGGCGTGCGCCGCCACGAGAAAGGCAGCCGCCTCACCGAAGTTTTCCATCGGCCCCCTCTCGAGCTCCAACGGCATGGAGGCGCGCGCGTGGAAAAGGCTGTGCCAGCCCGCGTTCGAGGCGCCCTCTCCTCTGCCGCAACCAGCCCGAAGGCGCCGGTGACATTTGAGCTATTCTCAGGGCATGGAGGATTTGCACGTGCTGCTGAAGTCATGGGCATGTGGGCCCTTGCCTGGGACCTGTCGCTCCGTGAGCAGCATGATCTGACCCGCTCCGAGAGTCGTCTCAGAATCGCCATGTGGCTCTGAGCAAGCTTGCTGCTTGGATGGCACTGCTCGGGCAAGCGTCACGAGATCCTTTGCGGCAAGAGACCGGGCGGCTCCTTCGCCACAGCAGCCGCAGCTGTTTATCCACCCAAGAACTGCAGAGCCTTGGCCGGTTTGCATTGCAGCGCTGACGTTGCGAGAGTCGCTGCCTTTGTCCAGAGGCGCCCCTGATTTTCGGCGATGACAGCTTGCAAGCATGCCTGCAGATTCGGCATGTCGTCAATGTTATCTGTCCGTCCTGCGTTTCCCGCGGCGTCTTGCCCCGCCCAATGCAGCCCGCCCTCGCGCCCTGACTGCTGGCAAAAAGGAGCTGCTATGATATGTGTGATTTCGTGATTTCATTTGCGCATTTCCGCCGCCGTTCGGGTGCTCAAGGCGCACCGCGCCGCCATCCCCACCACCAACCTCTTCTTTTAATCTTGCTCCTTGGCATGTAGTTGATGTTCTCTGCGTGGCGCCGCCCAATGCAGCCTGTCCACGCGCCCTGACTGCTGGCAAATGGGAGCTGCTATGACAAGTACGAGAAGGTCGGGGGCGAGGCGCAATGGGCGCGGTGCACTGTAGGTCGCGCCGAGGGCGACCTCGGAAGGGGTTGAGCGTTGAGCTTCGGGCGATGCGCAGGGCCAAGTCAAGGCACGGGGAGACGAGGGTGGGATGGGGGAGGAGGCAGCACCGACTGCCGGGAGGTGTGGGGGGGAGGAGGCAACACTGACTGTCGAGCTGCTGCATGAAGCCCGCCCGACCACCCAGCCGTAGACTTGCACTCCATATCGTTTCGTTGTGTACGGCTCCTCCTTCATATTAGAGGCCGTCGCTGAAGAGAGCGATGCGAATTTGCTTGCAAGTCTCAGCAGGCACAAGAACACGTGGCACTCTACCGCGTGGACCCATAATTCGAATTCGGGCGAGCGGTTCGGGTTGAGTCGGGTCGGGCCCAGTGGAACATAGAAGTGCGGGGTCCACAGCGTGGGGCGTCCAAGCGTGTGACCCTGTAGTGCGAGACATCATATTCGCACCGCTTCAACTTTGCAGGGCGATCGGGGTCTGCGTCTGGTCTTGCGATGCGTGAGCTCCTGCGACGCGTTTTGCTCGTAGCATGCAAGACGAGCGCTTGCGCCCCACGCACCGCGATTGCACCAGGATGGCGAGAAGCAGCGAGGCGCCGAACGCGTTCTAATTAACAGCCAACGTGTTCAGTGACAAGTGCTATATGGCATTGAACGATGTCGCATGGTGCCCTCATGGTATCAGCACTACGCGCGCCGAAATCCTGGCACACCATGACAGAAGTAGTCTTGGTATATCCACAGGACGGAGAGGGGCAGGGGATAGATCCGGGCAGGAGGGGCGATGCGGACGGGGAGCAAGGCTCAGACGTAGAGGGGAGCTGGCGGGGCGGGGATAAGGAACGAAATCGATGAAGAACAGGTGGAGGCAAGGTACCGGGTTGGTTCGGGGGGGTAGAAAACTGGAGAGGGAAGGGGAAGGGGGGCCAAGGGGAGGGGGAACGTGAAGGGGGTAGGGAGGCGAACGGGAGGGGGAGGGGGAGCAGGATAAGGCCCTCGGCCTCTTTCAGGATCGGCGGGTGCAGCTTAGCGTGACGATGTACAACCTGGCGATCGGGGCCTGCGAAAAGGGGCTCCGCTGGGTCCAGTCCCTGGGGCTGCTGGAGGAAGCGCGGCAGCAGGGTCTGACCCCCGACTTGGTGACCTTCAGCAGCTCGGCGAGCGCCTGCGCGGCCGGCCTGGGGTGGCCTTGCCAAAGGACGTTTCTTGGCAGCTTGTTCCTCCTCGCCCTCTTTCTACCTCCAGTGCTCCTCCTCCTCTTCCACCTCGTGCTCTTTCAATGCTTCCTTCTCGTCCTCCTCCTGATCCTCCAGCGCCTCCTCCTGCTCGTTACGACAGGCGTCTAGGAAAGCAACCAGCACATTGAATGCGAGCGAAAACGGATATGTGTCAACCCATCGAACGGCACGTTAAAGGCAAACCAATGCTGATTACGCTAAATATCAGCTGGCAGACAATCCAAACGCGATCTGGAGATCCAGCTGAAGACAAGCTAAAATCATATATATATATATATACATGTACATATATAGATATACACATTGAAAACCAGACGAGGTCAAGCCTTAATGCAAGCTCAAAGGCAGGCGACAGGCAGGATAAAATTAAGCCAAGAGCAAATGAAAGGCAGGCCCAAGCGAAAAGTGAGCTCAATGCTCGCATGAGGCAAGGCAAGTCTCATTGAAATCATACGATGTGCGCGATCAAAGAAAACTATCATCAGCCGACGGCACACCAAAAGGCGGGCGAAAGGCAATCAGGAAACGAGCCGGAAGCAACTTAGCAGCAAGCGGTGGGACTTTTAGATAACCGGAGAGGCGTCCCCCGTTAGGCCGGGTGGGAGGATCCAGACGCTAATGCCACCAGCCGTCCCGGTATAATAAGTCAGGACGATATTATGTGGAGCCAGATGTTTGAGATTGTGGATGTCTTTTGACTCGTCTCGCTTCAGAAGAGCTGCGTCAATGCCAAGGCGCCTCAGGACGCTAACGATATGCACCCGCACGCTATGGGAGTGGCTGTTTGCTGGAATGCGGACGACATGCTCAAGATAATGAATGTAATCCCCTCGCACTTTTTGGGCAGTGCAGTCCGTGATTGCTCCTCCTCCTCCTCCTCCTCCTCAGCAGCTGGGATCGGAAAGGCCTTGGTCAAGCTCCAGCGTTTTGCGAGCGATGCTCAACAGTACAGGCCTGAAGAGCAGCCAACAATCTGTCAGGCCATCGGGCCTCTGGATTCCACAATGTATCTCCCGACCAGGTTGCGAAACAGCGTGTCCATTGGAGTAACAGCTGGAAGATGGCGCAAAGATGTCGCCCCATCCACTGGGCCGTGGGTCGGGTTGCGTCAAATGGTGTGGGCACAACCAGCTTGGAATTTGGAACTAGTTGACGTTCCCTTGCGCCCCGGGTTGGTGGTCGAGCTACTTGTTGACGGCAGCACCCTGGTCTTGCGGTGACCTGAGATGGCTGCGGCAGCAGCTTCATGATCGGAGAGACGTGTACGTTATTCGTGTCGCGTGCTGGTGGAGGTCACCCCGCAAGGCTTCCGCCGCCTACTCCGTCTCTTCCACCTTCTGCTCCCCCTCCTGCTCCTCCACTCCGTCGGCGCCTCTGTGCTACTCATGAGCGGGCGGCCCGTAGGAGTTTCCACCCGCTGACTGGCGACTGCGCGCCACATCGCAGATGGGCGACGCAGATCGCAGATCGCAACGCACGTGCGCTGCAGGGAGGGCCGCTCGCAACCAACCCTGTGGCCTGGCCCGGCTCTGGGTGCGATCATGGCGTTGGCAGCGGCGCCTCCTTGGAACATCCAACCAGCTGGGAGAGATAGGGGGAGATGAAGGCGCTTCGAGCAGACAGTGCGAACGCAGGCCCAGGGGCGAGCCTGAGAGCGAGGCCGCTTCTGCCAGGGCAGCGTGGACCACGCTGGTAGGCGGCTCCATTGGCCCTTGCCGTGCCAGGATTGACAGCTCGACGACATCACACCACTTCGCGCGCTCATCAGGTGTGCGTGTTTTAAGCTAATTTTAGCTGCGCACTGGTTCGAGAGTGACCCAGCAGGCTTCGAGTTGACCGCTCGGCGACCGCGGTGATGACGGACACAGAATTGGAGGCGACGTCCGTTCAGGCGAAAAGAGACAAGTGCGAGTTCACTGCAGGTGGGAATTCTTCACGCTTCGCGTATCCCCACCAGCCCATCTCAAAACAGCAACTCTTGCGAAGCATGCCGACAGTCGTGTTTTTCAGGCGTGTTTCCGCCTGCCCCGCATATCTCCCTTGTTCCTCCTTCCTCCCGCCTCCTTGTACATCCTCCTTGTGGTGGGAGCGGGAGAAGGACGAGACGGAGGAGGAGGGAGAGAAAGCGCTCCTCGTGGTTTGAGTCGTTTGGGGTTTCTCGTCCTGGTGTGAGTCGTTCGGGCCCTTCTTCCTGGTGTGAGTCGTTCGGGCTCTTCGTGGTGTGAGTCGTTCGGGCTCTTCGTCCTGGTGTGAGTCGTTCGGGCTTCTCGTGGTGTGAGTTGTTCGGGCCCCTCGTCCTGGTGTGAGTCGTTCGGGCCCCTCCTCCTGGTGTGACTCGTTCGGGCTCCTCGTGGTGTGAGTCGTTCGGGGCCCTCGTCGTGGTGTGAGTCGTTCGGGCTCCTCGTGGAGTCCTGGGGCGTCGGGGTGGCGGCCCCAGGGGCTTCTAGGAGCGTCTTGGGTGCCTTGGGGGAGCCTCTTCGGGCCTCTTGGGAGCCTCTTGGAGGCCGTTTGGGGCGTCTTGGGGGCCTCTTGGCGGCCCCAGGGGCTTCCAGGAGCGTCTTGGGTGCCTCGGGGGAGCCTCTTGGGCCTCTTGGGGGCCTCTTGGGGGCCTCTTGGAGGCCTCTTGGGGCCTCTTGGGGCTCTTTGGGAGGGGTCTGGGAGGTATCTTGGGGCCATCTTTCGGGCGATCGATCACAGCTGGGGCGAGCATTTTTGTCAGTCCCCCCGTCGGGGCCAGAATCCTCGTGAGGGGTGTCGTTTTTTAGCCCTCCCAGGAGTCGAAAAAGGACCCTCCAACCACCCGCGAAAGGACCTCTCGAGGTCCAGGGGGAGGGGGTAGGGGGAGGGGTAAACCCCTCCCCGAAGGGGAAGAAGGGGGGTTGAGAACAGAGAGAGCTCGCTAAACCACTCACGCCCAACGGGCTGGTGGGATTGGCACTTCGCCTCAGGCCTTCCTGTGGATGACCAGGGCACGGCACGAAGATCTGCCCATACACAATGCGACTCCTTTCGACGGTGGGTGATGGCGTCGCCAACACGACTTACCCCGTGCGCGGGGCCCGGCTGTCGTCAGTACGTCCGCATGTCGAAGCATCGAATGTGGGGCAGCATGTCCCGTATCCAGCTGCCTGCGGCAAGTCCCGCCACCGTTCCAGCCCAGCATTCTGGTTGGCGACTGTTCGAGGGGGCACGGGAGGCCGTCACGTGTGACACCTCGTGTCTCCAGGGTCGGAAGAGCCGTGGTGATGAGGAGGATGATGGTGATGGGAATGACGATGATGTTGCTGCTGCTGATGATCATGATGAGGATGAGGATGAGAATGAGGGTAGCGGTAGTGGCGATGATGATGATGACGAGGACGAGGAGCGGGAGGAAGGAGGCGCAGCAGGAGGAGGAAGAGGAAGGCCGTCACAGGTGACACCACTCGTGTTAACTGTTTGAGGAGCTCTCATGGAACCCGTTTGGACCGTCTTAGGGCTGGTTTGGTCTCCTGTGAGGTTGGGCCGTGTTGGGGTCCTCTTACGCCGTCTTGTGGCTCTCTTGGGCCGTCTTGGGACCCTCTTGGCCATACAGTGGGTGTCTTGGAGCCGTCGTGCGACCGGCGAAGGGCCTTCTAAGGCCATCTTGGGTCCCACGGGAGGCCCACTTAGGCCGTCTTGGCTGCCTTTTGGGCCATCGTGAGACCTCTTGGGTCATCTTGGGACCCTCTTGGGGGCCTTTTGGGCCGCCTTGGGGCCGTCGTGGAGGCGTCCTGGGCAGTCTCGAGCTGACGGGATTCCGAAAAGCCGACTGTGCGGTAATAATTTAGAAACTAATCGGGCCCTACTGGAGGTCCGCTTGTGGTTCTACTGTCGGCGATATCGGGCCTTCTTGGAGGCATCTTGGGCTGCCGTGAAGCCATATTGGACAGCCTTGGGGCTATCTTGGCCCGTGTTCGAGGCATCTTGGGCCATCTTGGTGTCCTTGGTTGCCTGCCTGCTCCGTCTTGGAAGCTCGGTCCATCTTGGAAGCTCGTGAAGAGGAGGGGGGGTCTTCATAGAATACAACTTCCCGACCAAACAGACCTTGGCATTATTCCACGCCTCAGCGTGCACAAGTCACGGCGGTGGATTGTCATGACGATTTTCGGCCGGGTCGAATGCGGCACAGTTCTCGTGTTGAAGCTCAGCCGAATTTGGAACAGGCCTTCAAACTTAACAGTGCCGACGTATAGGTGCGTTTCCTCATATTTGTCCACTGCGACTTGACGAACACCGACCCATGCGCCACCGATTGGTCGTGCGGGACCAGGCTTGGGTGCTCTTTTTGGCGAGCGCACTGGAGGCGAATCCCATGCTTCCTAGAGTACCAGGTCCCACGACGAGTAGTCGTATACATGACCTCGCCACTACTACGAAAGTCGGCGTGTGCCGAGTGCCGCAAGACCAGCACCAGCAGTAGCATGCCCTGACCGCCGCCTCCTGTAGAGTGCGCAGACGCGCCCAACAGTCCGACGACGTCATGAAGCAGAACTCACTATTATTCTTCCCTGTTTTTCCCTGCTCTTCCCTTCTCCTCCCTCCTCCTCCACCCTCACCACTCTGTTCCCTCCATGTCCCTCCTCCTGTCTCTTCCTCCTCGCCCGTCCTCATTTCTCCTTGCCCTCCTCCTCCTCCTGTCCCCCATGTCTCTTTCTCATCGTCAAGTCCTTCGGAGGGTGGACTGGGAGGGCTTGCGGCATGGAGTAACACAAACTTCCTGGTTCCCCAGGTGGGCAACGTCACTCGGGATTATCCAGGAGATGAGTTTCATGAAGGCCTTGCCTCCTCAGTTCTCCTCGGAGAGAGTGCCTGGAAGAGTCGGGACATACGTTCACGATGAAGTGGACGCCGTGCAGAGGGATTCCAAACAGCAATTGTGAATGATTTTCAACGCAGGAGTGTTCAGGCGCACCAGAGAAGTACTCGGATTGAGGGTATTACTGCACACGCGCACCACGGGGCCGACGGTCCGTACGCGATGCTCTACGTGACATTTGCTAGCGTGTTGCAGCAATTGTTGTTCTCTGTGTTGTGCATGCTGTACGTCGGAGGTTTGACACGGAGTCTCCCAACTGGGAAAGCGGTTCCGATTTCGGTTCGTGTTGTGTTTGACGCGCGCGCGGGCCAGGTGAAGTTGCGCGGCAGATCCCTGCCTAATTGGGGCAGGTTGTCATCCGATTGTTCCGTCCCCGCCCTGGCGTGCGGTGGTTCTGGGGTTGTCCCGTGTCTGTCCCCTCAGTGTGTCGATATTGTCCCGTGGTTGTTCCGATGGTTGTCCCGAGGTTGTCCCGATGGTTGTCCCGTGGTTGTGCCGTGATTGTCCTGTGGTTGTCCTGCGATCGCCCCGTGGATCTCCCGTGCATTTGTCCTTTGGTTGTCCCGTGGTTGTTCCGTGATTGTGCATGGTTGTTACGTAGTTGTCTCGTGGTTGATCCGTGGTGGTCCTATGGTTGTCTTGTCGTTGCCCCGTCGTTGTCGTTTCGTCTTCGTGCGGTTGCCCGTGATTTTACCGTGGTCGCCCCGTCTATAGGTAGATGCTAATGCTAATGTTTACCCGACTTGAAGTTGCCAATTCCACTGCTCGCATAATAATCCCGCCTTCCCACCCGCGCGCTGTTTGTTTTGCAGAACCTATGCGGACGCAATTGCGGTGACTGCTTGTTCCTGGCTGGCGCATCTCTGCGGCCGCGCCGGCGCGCGCAATCTCGCGCGCATGAGCTGGCTTGGCACAGCTGATGCGGCCGCGATGGCGATTGTCGATGGCAACTTCCCAGCGCGTCTCAGTGGCCGCGTTAGCGCGCGAGCACTTCAGTGCGGGTCGGTAGTTAGGGCGGGCGCGATATCATGACAACGTCGACAAAGGCGGCAACAATGATGATAGTGGCGATGGTGGTAGCCATGATGATGACGAGGATGGTGATCATGATGATGACGATCGTGATGATGATGATGATGATGATGATGATGATGATGATGATGATGATGATGATGACAGTGGCAAGGCCAACGACGGCGCCGTTGCTGGTGACGGCGGTGACGATGATGTTGTCCATGTGTTGGTCATGACGGTGATTCAGTGATGTTGGTGGCACTGTCGGCGATTGACGATGAGGATAACGGTGGTGGTGTGATGACGACGTTGGTGCCAGTGATGGTGGGGAAGTGCGCGCGCGCAGGATTCCATTGAGTCTGACAGATTTTGTGTTGAAAAGCGTGTGCTTGCTAATTTCCCTTTTTTTCGGGATAGCTCTATCTTGATGCGCCTCGAGAGCTAATGGTTGTGGAAAGGTTTCGATAAGCGCGCGAGACGGCGCGCGCGTGTGGCCCGCATGGTTTTATTAGATGCGAGCTCGGACCCTGGGCGCATGATAGATCAACGCGAAGGCACCATGTGGTGAGATTGGGAATGTGTGTCCTTGACGAAATGGCTGAGCTCCTATGTTTTTTCCTATGGCTAGGGCAATTGCGCGTGGGCAGACGGCTTGCAGGATTTGCGCTGCACGAACTCAAAGGCGTTTATGTTGTAAAGTAGTGGCGTTGTCAGAACGAGTGCGCTGAGCATAGTTTTGACATGTGCGCGCGCGTGGGCGTCGTGAAGTTGTTTGCAAGGGCTTCTTGAACAAGTGTACGAGAGCGTACAGTGTATTATTTGGCAGGGGTGAGGGGGTGTCGATGCCGGTTGGTCTGGGATCGTACAAACTAGTGGTGACATTGAGCGGTGAGGAAAAAACATATTCAAATTGCAGTGCGAAAAAGAAGGCTGTTAACCTTGGGGAGACAGTGTGGTGGAGTATTTCAGTTTTGAACAGAGAATGCACTTATACCCATATGCATATGGCGAGTCCGGTAGATAGATCGACAGTGATACCAGTGTGTAGAGAGCGACCCAGTCGGCGATTTGGCTTCAATATTGAAGGGCAGTAATCTCTATAGTTCGATCGGCCGAAACATTGGAATAGACATCTACAGGCGTCGATGGATATGTTAGTGTCCTGTGTTTTTTGTGGTTGTTCCGTAGTTGTTTTGTGGTTGTCCCGCGGTTGATTTGTTTCGGTCTTGTGGTCAATTGTTTTGTCGTTGTTCCGCAGATGCCCCGTGGTTTTCCTGTGTTTGCCCTGTCCATAGCTAGATAATTCACGTACATACACATACACATAAACATATACATATTATACACATACATATAGACATATCCACAGGTGTGATATCAGTTGATACATTGTGAGATTGTTGTCGACGGCGAGCCTGGGGGGGAAGTGAGGCGGGGTGGGCCTTCTCAGAGGGCTCGGATGCTCCACGGCCTTCTGAGAAGGTGTTCTAAGCCTTTCACCGAAGACACTGAACATTAGCAGAAGGCTTGATGGCTTCTGAGCAGTCCCGCCGTCTTCTGAGAATGTCTCTTCTTCTCATTTCCCCTTCTTGTTCGCCGCCGACGGTAGACAATGAGATCGACCGATCTGCTCTTAGTGGTATAGACACATTGATCGCGGGACTGGTGGATCATTTGCTAGACCAATCGTGTGTTTGACTTGGGATCGAAAGATCGGGAGATAGATTGGTATTTGGATCGGGGGATCGGCAGTGATATTGGTATATTATATCTTTGTACATGTACACAAGTGGACACCGATGAATACCTCCATCGCTGGATACATAGGCAACGGGCCCGATCCGGTGTAATTCGCAAAACCAACCGGCCCACCCCACCCACCCCAAACCTCCTTATCGCCCGACGGGTGCTCTTCGAGGCATTATGAAGATGCCGCCGCGTACAGCATGGTACCTTTCAAATGCCTCCAGGTATCGAGATTTGCGGCACCCCGTCGCCCACCTCCCGTGCTGCCTTCATCCCCCCTGCCTCCCAGGGTCACCCAACGCTTCTCATGCGTTTCATTTACATCTGAGTGCCTCCATCACTTGCCTACATCTGAGTGCCTCCATCACACACACATATATATATATATATGTATGTATGATTTCTGTTTCGCGCCCTGCCCAACGGGCCCACATGCCATCGGCGGGAAGGGCGCACCGATTCATGGGCGACGTTGGCTCGTAAGTTGAAGGCTTCTATTCGTTACCGAAAGCGGCAAACGGGATTGGACATTGAATTGTTTACGGCAACGGTTCGACCTAGATAATGTTCAGGTTACCTTCCCGGGGGGGGCCTTGGGAGTTTCAGCTTCAGCCCAGAGGCAAGTTTTGTTGCGTCTTCTATGTTCAGAATCCTGACTTGGGGATGCTCACGATAACCTCAGGGCGGCAATTGCACGCGTCAGCCATCTGCGTCACCGATCCGCAGGGCAACCCTATCCGAAGCGTCGTCACAGCATTGGGAAGTGTTCACCCTACATATAAAGTCAAGATTGCCAGCCTTGCCCCGCATGTGTGGCTCACTTGCACTGCGTGCCTCTAGTTTGATTCTCGATCTGATGCGATGTAATGTGTTCAGTCGTGTTCTTGCTGTTGCTTTCCCCTTGTAGTATTCGGATTTAGGGGTTCCTATATGTATGCGAACATTTTTCGCGATGGCTGATTGGATCCCTATGGGTCGCTGTGCCGCACTTTTCTACGGTGGCTGATTGCATCACTATGGGCTCTTATGTTTTCTTGTGACTTCTTATGCACACGCGCACACTCAACCAGACAGACACACACACACACACACGCTTCCTCCGACGCGGCGGTGGGAGAATTCCACCGGGTAGGCAGTGCACATGGGGCTCCACAGTCGTTGCGCGAATGACTTGTATGGGGTCCACGCGCCGGCATCATACCTCAGTTAACAGCTCTATCTGGGTGAAGTGAGTGGGTGGGCTTGGTCGTGGGTCATGCTGAGGTCCTGCCCAACCTGATCACCTTTGGCGCGGCACTCACCGCGTGTGCCAGCGCGGAGCGCTGGAGGCACGCTGCGCAGCTCCTGGCGGGACTGCTGGGGCCGGGGCCCTGGCGTTAAGCCAGCCGGGGTTGCCTCTCCTGCTCGTGAGGACACGTCGAGGCTGCTATCAGAGTGGCCCAGTGGCATGCGACCCATCCCGCCACCGTGCCTTCCGTGGGGCTTCTCGAGGGGCCTTTTGGGGGGCATCTTCGGGACACCCCGGGCGCCTCCCGAGGCCTTCTGGGGGCCTCTTGTGTGTCTTGGGGGTCGCCTGGGGCGAGAGAGGTCCTGGGCGCTTGGCTCGGTGCACCCCATACGGCCTGGTCTGCTCTGTTCTGCAGCATTGGTTTCCAGGAGGCTCACGCGCCACACTCCGAGAGCGCCCAGGAGCGCCCAGGATTTCTGACAGATCGGGGGCCCAGGAGTTTCAAGACATACAACGTTTGTATCACTCACACTTGTAAGAGCCGTGGGGAACTCCATTGTGGGCTCAAGGCGCGGTGGCGATTTTTGTTGGTCTGCCATCGTGCGCCATTTCTTGCGTTAAAGTTAAAATCGATTGCATCAATACTTCAGGGAATGCAGAATTGCGGGCAGGTGGTGTCAGGCCAATCGTACGCCGCATCATTCTCAGTGCAGGGCTACAGTCCGACGGCTCATATCACTGGTGGGGGCGCCTTAAATTCATTGGCCTTGTAGTGGAAGACATCTAGGACGGCTTGCCGCATGACACCGCCCGTCACCTATATGTGAAGGACGTGACGGGGACGGTCTCCAGGCTGGCCCCCCGCAGGCCTTCTCCCTGGCCTTGAAGGTTCATGCCCAGTCTGCGTGCTATTCCAGCGGCCGTCAGTGCCGCAAAGGCTGTCAAGGAATGTTCTCCCATCTTGGGTCACAGCTTTGCAGTTCCACGCGAGACCCCAGATGTGATCAAGGGAATCATGAGGCCCCATAGGCATCTCCCAACACTGGTTTTACTATACACCAGGCCGAGGGGATCGCGCAAAGCCGCAACGCTGCTGAGGGAGGGAGGAGGAGGAGGAGGAGGAAGAATAAGGACATAATCCAGCGGCTCCGACGGATTCGCCCGAAGGAAAGGAGGGAAGATAAGTGGAGTTGCATGCAGTGCAGAGTTCGTTCTCTGCGCACTGCGGTGTCGAACTGGAGGTGGAGTTTTGCACTCGAACACATGACGCACGGTATGTGGTCTCCAACCCACCCACCCACCCAGTCGATAACATAGCGCCCGCCGCCCCACCCACCCCCGTTGCAGCAGCGGCTGTTGAATAGCGCACAGGTCTGCTGTTCGTAGTTCGCGCGCAACGTGCTTGCAGTGTGCGCAGGCATGTGCTTGCGGTCTGTCGAGGCGCGTGGCTCGCGCAGGCTGCTCTGGCACCCACACAGGCTTGGCGGCGCAATCACAATGGAAGATACATGCAGTTCGTTGTGCATGGCGCACACGCCGGCTGCGGCGGCAGTTGTGGTACACAGGCGTGGTGGTGCCTAACATTGTGGTATACACGGGTGTTGTTGTGCGCGCAGGCAACGGGGGTAGGGACCGTGACCGTGGCCAGGAAAAAACAACAAACACAATCAATCTGAATATTGAATTTGACACGTTCGGGCCGGCCATGGTTTGTTGGAGTTTGACCCCGTCGGGCACCTGAAGGTGTACACGGGCTTTGTGGTGTACGCGAGCACTGTGATGTACATGTTGGCGGCGTACAGAGGCACAGGGGTGTATTCGTGCGCAGGCTCAGGGATGCGCAGAGCTTGTTTTTTTTCGTGGGCTGCTAACTGGCGAGCGGTACTCCGGTGACTGTGGTGCGCCGCAGCTTCTTAGAGCAATTCCTGTACTACCACCGCGCCGACCACGGCGCAGTGAGCACCCTGTGGCCAGTTTATTGGGAAGGATTCACGGCCGGTGCCGCCGACCCTGGGCGCTAGGAGGAGGGGGGATGGGGAGGAGAAAAAGAAGAAGAAGGAGGAGGAGGACGAGGACAAGGGCGAGGACGAGGACGAGGACGAGGAGGACGAGGAGGTCGACGGGCAGATGCGGGCGATAATGGGGGAAAGGGAGGGATTTGAGCCTCTTGGTGCTCCCTTGGGTGCGCTCTTGGGTTCATCTTGGACCTCGTAACGGGCTTCTTGGGTGCCTATTGGGGCCTCCTGGGGGCGTCTTTGGGCGGGAGGCTCGAACTGTCGGTTGGTGGCCCCCTTCTTGGGGGCCCCTTGGGCAGTTTTGGGCGTTTGTTCGGCCGTTGTGGGGCCGTCTTGAGCGGCGTCGGAACTCTCCTGGGCGCCTCTTGGGCGAGGATTTTCTCGGACGACACCGCGGCACAAGTGAACTCGAGGCGCCGAGGGTCCTCCCCCTCTGGGGGATTCTTCGTCGCCGCGGCCGCACGCAGCTTGAAAAACTTGCAAGAGTGGCCCCCCAGCGGCACAAAAAGAATATCCACAAAAAACATGCATATTCAATGTGATACGTTCGCGCCCCACCCCACGAACACGAGTTTCGGTTTATGGGCATCGTCGGGACCCTCGAAGAGTACGCGGGCTCTGTGGTGAACATATACAGTGCGGCGCACGCAGGCGCCAGTCGCCGCGCTGCGCGCGGCTGCTGTGGTGGTGTGCACGCGGGTCGTGCTGAACAACGGCGTTGTGGTGCACGCGGAGCGTGCTTGTGTGTCCGCAGCTGTGTTGCGCAGGGGCGTTGCGGCGTACGCGTTCGCAGTTGTGTAGCGTACGCGTCCGTAGTTGTGTACACAGACGCTGTCGTGCACAGGAGCATTGCCATGCACCCATTCATTGTGATTTCCACAGGCGATGTGGTGCATGCGTAGGTTGCTGCATCAGCATGCGTGGTGAGAGCGTGGTGAAAGCGGGCATTACGATGTCAACGCGCCTTGTGGCGATCGCAGCTGCAAGGCCATGTCGCTACGCCCGTACCAAGAATAGCGACAAGGACGGTGACTTCAGAAAAAAAACCATTCGAGCAGCCGGGCACGACTGTGTTACGTTATGTGCCAGCGGACCCACCCACCCATCCACCCACATAACGCGCGCTATGTGGATTCAAAAAGAAGCGAGCATCTGCCTTGCCGCGCATGTCCCCGCTGGGTTCGGGGAAGCTGCCCGGCAGCGCTGCAGTGTGGCACGGCTGCGGCGCTGCACGGACGTTGCGCTGCATCTTCGGAGCTTTCTTGGTGCTTGCTGGGGGCCCTCTTGGATCAGGGCGCAACACGGAACCACAAGCACAACTAAATTAATTGTTTTGGAAGGCCCTTTGGGGGAGAATCCACCGACCTCGACATGAACACTTTGGTTGTAGTTGCAGTCCACTTGGCCGTCTGAGACGCCCACGTCGACCACAACCAGTACTAAGCTGGCATCGGTGTTCTGGCGCTGATTGGCATGCGCAAGACATCCCCCAGGGTGCGTTCTCGATGTGGTTGTGGTCGCTTGTGCCCCCGCGCTGGAGGCCCCTCCAGGGCATTCTGAGGCCCTTTGGGTGATCCTGTGGCCGTCTTGGTGAACCTCAGGGCCATGTGGAGGTCTTGGGGTCAGGAGGCCGTCCTGGGCCAGTCTTGAGCCATCTGCTTGGAGGCGAGGCTGCCACAGTTGATCCTGGTCCAGGGTGCCGTGAGGGGTGCTCCTGAGGCCAGGTGGGCATTCGGAACAGTTGTGGCCATTTTGGGCCAGGGTCGCCCCTGCCAACACGAGGAGGAGAGAGGACCGAGAAGGAGGAGGAAGAGTAGGAGGAGGAGGGATTAGAGAGGAGAAAAGACAAGCTAGGTGCGCTCGCGCCATATCTGACATCCGACCCTTCGGTGCGCTGAACTTGTTTATATCCGTGGAGTGTCCTAGAGAACCTTGATACCCCAAACGATCAAATGACCCTCATCGTGTGATGCGCAATCAGTAATGAGGCCTCTGTACATTGGAGGAGAAACAGGTGACGGGTTAACAGGAGGATGAGCAGGAGGAGGAGGAGGAATGATGATGATGATGATGGTGATGATGATGATGATGATGATGATGATGATGCTGATGATGATGATGATGACGATGATGATGCTGATGCTGATGATGATGACGATGACGATGACGATGACGATGGTGATGACGACGATGATGATGCTGATGATGTTGGTGATGATGATGATGATGATGATGATGATGATGATGATGACGATGCTGCTGCTGCTGCTGCTGATGATGATGATGATGATGATGATGATGGTGGTGGTGATGAGGAGGAGGAGGAAGAGGAAGAAGAGGAGGAGGAGGATCAGCAGCAGAAAGAGGACTACGAGGAGCACGAGGAGCAGGAGGAGCAGGAGGATCAGCAGAAGGCGGGGTAGGAAAACGGAGGGGGGCCGTAACGAGGAGGAAGGGATCGGATCCAGAAATGTGGCCCGCGCTGGGGCGAGAGCGCCTGAACGACGGGGGCAAAACCCGATCCTGAAATGTGGCCAGCGCTGCAGCGGGAACACAAAGTTTGAAGGACCGAGAACGTTCCGATTGAACAGCCACAGGGAAGAAGACGGAGTATTGAAATCCTACGTGTGGAAGTAGTACGTGGGAGAGAAGGAAAAACGCTGGGACAGGGTCATAATATAGACGAGAGCTATAATCCCCAAATTGTGTGTGCAGAAATGAGTTCTTACATGTACTTGTGTAGCAAGGCATTGGCTGGGCGTTCTAGGTTTTCGCCTGGTGGGGGCTTTGTGGGCGCCTCGTGTTAGCTGGGTGTTTCGGGCTTCGCCTGGTGGGCGCCTCGTGGGGGCCTCGGAGGCGCCTCGTGTTGGCTAGATGTTCTGGGCCTTCGCCTGGTGGGCGCTTCTTGGGCGCCTCGTGTTGGCTGGGAATTCTGGGCTTTGGCCCATTGGCCCCGAGGACGAGTCGTGGGCGCCTCGTGTTGGCCGGGTGTTTTGAGTTTCCGTTTGGTGGGCGCCTCGTGGGCGCCTCGAGTTGTTGGCTGGATGTTCCAGGTTTTCGTTTGGTGGACGCTTTTGGGCGCCTCGTGGGCGCCTCGTGCTGGCTGGGAGTTCTGGGTTTTCGCTCTGTGGGCGCTTCTTGGACTCCCCGTGCTGGCTGGGAGTTCCGGGTTTCCGCCCGCCTGGTGGCGCCCGTGGGCGCCTCGTGCTGGCTGGGAGTTTGGGTTTTCGCCGGGCGCCTGTGGGCGTCTCGTGTTGGTGGGGAGTTCTGGACGTTTTGCTGGGCGCCCGTGCGCACCTCGTAGGCGCCTCGTGCTGACCAACAGTTTCTTTCGGTTTTCGCCTGGTGGGGGCTGCGTGTTGGTTTTGC